GTCCCCACGTGGCAGGGGGGCTTCATTGCCTGAGCCGGCACTCTGCTTCCTAGGCCTGCGTTAGCGACAGCCTGGAGTAGGCCTGGCCTCAGCCCCGGCTGCTGGTCGCCATGGGGGAGTGACTCTCCTTCTCTCTCTGAAACTGACTTCAAAATGGATTAATCTGAAGCCAGCTCAGAGAAAGCAGCATGAAGATCCCGCCATTCAGGAATCGTGGTCGCCAGGGGTGGGGGTGTGCTTCCTTCCAGGCGGGCAGAGAAGCCCAGAGGTGGAAGTGAAACTGAGGGTTTATAAACATGCATCTTCCCCCAGGACGTCCCTTTCTGAAACTGTTGATGGTTAAGACCAAGAACCGTGAGAAATACGAAATACGGGCTTCCGAGCGGCCCTGCTTCCCGCAAGCAAGGCTGCAAAGACCAACACAGAATACAGTGTCCTGCCCTGCTGGCTCCTGGAAGCCACGCCCGACTCCCTCTAAGCCTGTCCACGCAGCTTGCAGGTGTCAAGCTGGAGCGGTCCAGAGCCAGGGGTCAGCTGGGTCGCGTGTCCCTCGAGGCCTGTTGTCTGTTCCCAGGAAGGGCCTTTGCTTTGGGCGGGGCTGGGCTCTCCCTTTCTCCTCTGAACTCTAAAGGAAACAGCAGCAGAAAGTGTTTCACCCCAGGCAGCTCCGGGCTGAGCGTGGGAAGGCTGTGTACGGGGCCGTGCTGCCCGTTGCAGCTGTGCTCTGGGGGGCTTCTTAGAGGGGCCCTACTTTCTTGCATGCGTGTGAATTTGGAGGGGTATGAAGAGGAAGGGCTGGTGGAGCCGTCCGTGGGTCTTCTCTTGCGTGTTGTGTTGGTAATGACTGGCTGTAGCACCAGGATAGATCAGTGGCTCCTGGTTGTACCTCCTTCAGGACATTGATTTGTGGGGCGAGTGGCTTTGTAGGAGTGCCCATCCTGTGGGTGTACGTGTTTACGGAATGGAGGAGCCAGTGTCTTTCCCATGAGCAGTGCTGGCATCTCCTAGGAGTCCAGAACAAGGTGGTTGTGGTCACCACCCATGGTGTGGCTGTTAACTGGCTGGTCTGGGTTTTGGGACACTGACCATCCTTAGCCCACTTGCAGAGGTACCGTTAGGGGCAGGTGTGTCGGGTAGCAGGGCTTCCTGTCCTGGCTACCTTCCTTTCCAGCCTTGTGTGCCCCTGGGAGGCGGCACGTGATGGCTTCAGTGCAGGGACCCACCCTAGGCCCTTTCCTGACTTGGCTGGCCCAGCTCCTGTTTTTGTGGGTGTTGGGGGCATGTACCAGCAGATAAGAGACCTTTGTCTCCCTTGCTGCTTCTGCCTTGCAAATAAAGCAAGTTAAAATATTTTTTTATTGGAAAGGCAGATCAGATTTATGGAGAGAAGGAGAGACAGGAAGATCTTCATCCACTGGTTCACTTCGCAAATGGCCACAACAGGCTTTGCTAAGCGATCGAAAGCCAGCCGCCAGACTCTTCCGGGTCTCCCACCGGGTGCTTTGGGCCGTCCTCCACTGCTTTCCCAGGTCACAGGCAGGGAGCTGGATGGGAAGTGGAACAGCCGGGATACAAACTGGCGCCCATATGATATCCCAGTGCTTGCTAAGTGAGTGGGTTTAGCCCTTGAGCAATCACTGTGCCCAAGTTAAAATACCTTTGAAAGAAGTGACTGTAATATACAGTCAAAATTGAAAACTGTTGCTTTAAATAATGTTGATTACCATGCTGGACTGCCTTTTCCTCGGTCACCCTGCGCTCCTGTCCTGGATGCGCTGTGCACTGCTGGGGAAATTCTGCTTTCGGAATTTCCCTCAGAGCCAGTGTGAGACCCCACACGGACTCGGCACCCATGTGTTGCATGAAGGATCCTTCTCTTGGGTCCACATCTGTCACTTGACCTCAAGTGACTTGGGGTTTCTTGCAAGGCAGACTCGCTGAGTCAGCAGGTCTGTGTGGCGCGGCTGCTCTGTGCCAGACACTTGGTGTGCCAGAGACGAGAAGGATGTAGTTTGTATTCCATGGGGGGAAGACGGGCAGGAAGCAGGGGAGCATTGAATCCCCAGAGATGACAGCTGCCCCATTGACCCGTTGGTTCTAGTGGTAACATCTGGTGCAATTCATTGACAGCCATGCTGCCAGGACACAGGGCATCACAATGCCTCATGCTGTGCGATGTGCCAACCCTACACTGCCAATGTGCTCTCCATTCTATCACTGTTTCCAGGGAATCGGGTCTTTTGGAATTAGTGGTGGTTCTTTTTTTTATTTTTTTAAGATTGAAAAAAAATTTTTTATTTGTAAAGTCGGATTCAGAAAGAGAAGAGACAGAGAGCTTCTGTCCACTGGTTCACTTCCCAAGTGGCGCAACTGAAGCCAGGAGCCTCCTCCAGGTCTCCCAACCAAGTGGGTGCAGGGTCCCACGGCTCTGGACCGTCCCCACTGCTTTCCCAGGCCACAAGCAGGGAGCTGGATGGGGATAGGGGGCAGCCAGGACGTGAACCACACCCATACGGGATCCTGGTGTATGCAAGGCAAGGACTTTAGCCACTAGGCTACCACACAAGGGCCCTGGGATTTACTTTTGTCCGTTTATTGTACCAAATCTCTGGAGCTTTCTCCAGTGCCCGGGTGTTGGGAGTTAGCTCCTTTTGGTGGCTGAGAAGTGTTACATGGTATGGATGGAATGTTTGACCAGTCACTCATTGAGGCATGCCTGCGTTGCTTCAAGATTTTGGCTGGTTGGGCAAAAGCTGCTGCTTGCATGCCGACATCCCACAAGGGCAATCCTTGGAGTCCTGGCTGCTCCGCTTCCGATGCACAGACTGCCCAAGTCCTTGCGCTCCCACATCCTTCTGGGAAATCTGGACAAAGTTCCTGGCTCCTGGCTTCTTGTGGGGCCCAGCCTTGGCTGTTGCAACCATTTGGGGAGTGAACCAGAAAATGAAAGATCTCTTCTCAGTCCCTCTCTGCCCCACCTCACCCTTCTCACTGTCTATAACTCTATTTATGAACCACCAACTTCGAGTGGTTAAAGCCATGTCAGCCTTCTGCTAAAACGTAGAGTTAAAGAGCGAGGTGGGGGGATTTGTGGGAAGAAGGGACCTGGCTCAGTAGCCTAGCAGCGGCTCCCCTCCCCCCGCCTCCCATCCAGCTCCCTGCTTGTGGCCTCGGAAAGCAGCGGAGGACCGCCCAAAGCCTTGGGACCCTGCACCCGCATGAGAGACCCCGAAGAAGCTCCTGGTTTCAGATTGACTCAGTTCTGGCTGTTGTGGCTGCTTGGGGAGTGAATCATCGGACTGAAGATGTTCCTCTCTGTCTCTCCTCCTCTCTTTATATCTGACTTTCCAATAAAAAATAAATCGTAAAAAAAGAAAGAGAGATGGGGAGAGACAGAAGGAGAGAGCCTCCACCCCCGGTTCGCTTCCCAAGCGGCTGTACCAGCTGGGGCTGTACAAAGCCAAGAGCCAGGACTGGTGCCCACCTGGCACCCAGAAGGCCTGTCAGTGCTGCAGGCAAGGGCTATCCTACAGTGCACCACAGGCACAGCCATTAGTAAATGAAATGGTTCAGAGCCTGTTGGAAATAGTGCTGCTGTGACACCCACAGGAGGGTGTCGCGCGCGTGTGTGTGCGTGTGTGTGCGTGTGTGTGCGTGTGTGTGTGTGTGTGTGTGTGTGTGTGTACGTGAATTTGTTTCTCTGGAGTAAGTGCCTGCTCTACCAGGAGTTTATTTTTGTTTGTACTTTTAAATGGTCTAACAGTTGGAGGAAAGAATCCTGTGTGTTCTCTGTGTATAAGGCCAGGCAGGACCTGCTGACACTGGCACGGTTCTTGCCCACTCAGAGCCGCTGGGTTGGCGGAAGGAGCCCAGAACCCTGCCATACTGGTCCTGGGGACACCCCCAGCTTTTACTTCCTAGTGTGGAACTGCTTGTTTATTTTTCCATTGTAATCAAAACCCTGTGGGATTTCAGCCGAGCTGCATGTGGGATCCTGTGTGGCGGTCCGGGGGTGCAGGGGGGCTGCGAGTGCCAGGAACTGAGCTGGTGCCAAGCAACCAGGGACTCTACCCAGACCCCTGAGGAAGGAAGCAGCAGCTGAGCCGGGCTAGGTGGGGCACGTGAAGGGGAGGGTGGGAGCGCCCAGGAGCAGGGCAGCAGACGCGGAAGGCGAAGGCGCCGCCGGGGTGCGGCAGGGAGAGGGACCTGGTCGCTGCCAGCTTCAAGGTGGGAGGCATTTTGTGAAACTTCACAAACTGTGCTCTTAGTTCCAAAAATACCTTGCCCCAAAGTACACGTCATTCCTTTTCCTGTGAGCTGTTGGAAGTGCCCTGACTGCCTGCCTGGGCCTTTCCAGCCTACTACCTGTCCGCAGGCCTGCCATTCCGCCTTCAGAAGGAAGGCTGGCTGGCCAGCTCCTTCATCTCACAGTGGCCTGCGTCCACTGGAAAGGCCGGAGCAAACCCCTCTTGGGCAAAGTTAAATTCCACACCCCACCCCACCCCCGGCCTTGGGCTGGGATTTGCTAATGGATGGTGGCCAAGGGCTGGAAGGAGCCAGAAGTGCTAGGGCGGGGGCGGGGGCTGAAGAAAGAGCGGGTGGGGAGGGGGGAGGTGTGCAGCCAGTTTGATCATGGAGCCTGAGTTCAGCGGCTGCGGCTGGGAGCCAGCTGTCCCCTGCTGGTAGAATGGCTTGCTTAGCTTAGCGCTCTGTCTTGGCCCAGGTGTGTCCTGCAGCTGCTTGCTTTTGCAGGCTTGGTAGTGGTAGTTCACAGTGCAGCCATAGAAGCAGCAGCTTTGCATGGAGGACAAAACCCTGTCGTGCAATCGTGCTGGGACAGAGGGGACCCTGCACTGCTTACGGGACCACCAGAGGAGCTGGAGGGTTGAGGTGTGGCCCACAGCGTCTGCCCGGGGTGTGGGACCAGCTCAGAGACCAGGAGGCGGGCTGCGGTGGATCTGGGCCCTGGGGGTTTCTCACCATCCTGTGTGTTCTTGCAGACGCAGACTATTCAGCTTAACAAGGAGATGACGCTGGCTGGCAACCGGAGCCTGGCAGAGGGGAACCTTCTGTATCAGCCCCAGCTGGACTCACGGAAGGCCTGCTTGACCCAGAAGTACCAGGAGCTCCAGGCTCTCTTTGAAACCTATCAGATAAAGAAAACTAAACTCGGTAACTGATGGGGCCCGCTTTGGACAGAGCAGGTTGGGAAGACACTGGGCAAGCAGGGAGGCTGGGCTGGGACCGTGCTCGTGTGTCGGATGTGACCCTGCTCCTGGGACAAGCCTGCCACTGTGGGAACTCAAGACACACCTGCCCCCTGGAGCACAGAGAAAGGCACCCTTCTGAGTCATGACTCGCAGGCAGTGTTAGCCCTTGGTGGGCTCAGAATAAACACTAGTCCTGTCCTGGGCGCTGTGCTGGCCTGTGTCCTGATGCCTTTGCGGAGTTTGAGGGATGCTTTGGAGGAGCTGGGCTCATGTCTGGTGTTGCTAGGGGTTTCTTCCATCCGCCTTGTCTCCCTGGTAAGAACTTACCCGGACAAACCGCTGTTGCTGGCAGGGGTGTGGTTTGGTAGAACTGCCTGAAAAGCCTGGGTGGGCAGTGCCACGCGTGTGTATGTCCACAGCACCAGCGGTGCATCCTCAGCAGACAGGCCCTGGCACGGCCATGTCAGCCCCCTGCTCACAGCTGCTTTTGGAAATGAGCTGGATGCCCGCCTTGGGGGGGAGAGCCCATAGGTGTCAGAGCAGGTGCAGGCTGCGCCACTGGCAGGGAGTTCAGAGCCAGGCAGGACCTGCCTGGGGAGGTGGTGGTCCGGGGAGGAGTGAGCACAGGGGTGCTGAAAGGGGACATGCGGGGGCCTCCTCAGAAATGCCCAGTGTCTTGTGGCAGCTTGTGGTCAGGGCTGCCTGGGTCCCACTCTGAAGATGTGTGTGTGTGGAAATGTCTCCCAGTTACTGTCACATTCCAGCTGACTGTGGGGCAAGTAGTGACACTGGGTGCCCTAACCCGTGGGGCTGTCCCCTGGTCCGCCCCTGGTGGTGCTGGTTCTTCTTTAACATTAATTTTTATTGGAAAGTCAGATATACAGAGAGGAGGAGAGTCAGAGAGGAAGATCTTCCATCCGATGGTTCACTCCCCAAGTGAGCGCAACGGCTGGCGCTGAGCCAGTCTGAAGCCAGGATCCAGGAACTTCTTCCAGGTCTCCCACGTGAGTGCAGAGTCCCAAGGCTTGGGGCCGTCCTCAGCTGCCTTCCCAGGCCACAAGCAGGGAGCTGGATGGAAAGTGGGGGCTGCGGCGTTGTGATTCAGATAAACTCGGGGCCATAGAGAGCTGGATTCGCGGACGGGTTCAAGGATGCGGATTTACAGGATGCTAGGCAACCGCCGCAGGCCCAGGTGGGTTTGTGGGTTGGTATGTGAGGGGAATTGTGGAAGTTACTGGTGGCTGGCAGGAATAAGTGAGCAGTTTTAAAGGGACAAAGGGGCTGGCAACCTGCGGAGACGAAGGAAAGAATGGGCACGCTGTGCATGTCCAGATAGCGCCCCTTCTCCGGCCATGGGTCCCTGGGGGAACAGGATCTGGAAAATCAGTGGAAGGATGGGCCCCGTGTAATGCTTGTATACCCGCGCCCAGGAATGAGGTGACATGACGGGGTGAAATGAGAAGCACCAGTAGCTACCGCCCGGGGCTTCAGCGTAGTGCCAGGGTGGGTAGCTAGGGAGCCACTAGTGAGATTATGATGAGCCGGGGGGGGGGGGGCGGGCTCTCTGCGAAAGAAGGAGGGTCTGGTAGGTGGTTAGGGTGTGGAAGATGATTTTTTGAGGACAGAGGAAGTTGAGGGCTCAGCTACCGATGCCTAGAGTGACGGGGGGGGGTCAGGCAGTAGCAGTTGTTGGAACTGCGTCAGGCTAGAAGGCAGAGCTAGCTTAGAGCGGCGTGGCAGGACTCCTGATGGAGGGCATGCAGGGCCCGACCCGGGTGGCTGAGAACACCCATGGCTACGGGATTGAGCGCGGGTTGGTAAATGACAGTCGAGCCGCGGAATGTTGTATGGAATACTCAGCATCGCGATGTCGTTGTGGGGTCGCCGCACCGAGCTGGCAGCCGTGAGGAAGAGGGGGTCAGGAGCTGGAGCCTGGTCCCGAAGTTCCCGAGAGAGGAACAGGAGAACTAAAGTGTGGGGGCTTCTCAGGGAGGATAGAGATGGGGGGTTGATGTGAGGCCCGGTATTGGACAGGGCACGGGGCCATTGGGTGCGACAATGATTGGGGGCGCCCAGGGGGGGAGTGGTTCTGGGGGTTTGTTGGGGGCTATTGTATTGTTGAGAGACAGGATCACAAGGAGAGGAGAGATAGAGGCCTTCCACCTGCTGGGGCACTCTGGGAATGAGAGGTGCTCAAGTTGAATGTGCCAGAAGCCAGAGCGGAGACCTAAGCAGGGTGCCTCCGCAGGGATCTGCACCGACGTTGCAGGGGTGGGACGCACGGGAGTGTCCTCCAGGGGCTTGTCGGTGGGAGCTAGAGGGTGTGGGATGCCCGGATGGAATTACGTTATGGATAGCGGGGGAGGTACGGGGAAAACTGGCAAGCGGATGGTTTGGGATGTCTGTGCCACAGGGTGGAGGATTAGTCTGGATATGAACCCGTGATGTGCAGGCCCAAGCCAGCACCGTAAACGGCGTCCCCCGGGGCCAGACTGTGACTGAGTGAGCGTAGGCTGTAACGAAGCCACAGCCGCATCGCCAGAGCGAGTGCATAGCTCCAGGACGCGTGACTGTACTCATGCCCAGCTCCCAGCCAGTGGCCTGGGGAAGCAGAGGCCCCAGCATCCGAGCTCCTGCCCCACGGGAGGCCTGGGTGCAGCTCCAGACTGTGGAGTAGTAAATCGGTAATATCTGACTTTCCAATAAACATAAATAAATCTTTAACAAACCCCCCCTGCTCTCCCAGCGCCCGGGCTCCGCCTCCCTGCCACACAGGCGCCTGTGCCATACAGGTTTTCCTTTGAGCCCGCAGAGAATCAGCCGTTGGACGAGACACTCGTGGTGCCCGTCCTGTTAGACACTTTGTCGGGCCGGAAGTGGGAAGACGTGCGATGGGGCGGCGGGTGGAAGGGCCAGGCGGATGACTGCTCTGTGTTGTCCTCTTGCAGATCAGCAGTCCAGCAGTGCTTCCCTGGAGACCCTGTTAGCGCTTCTGCAAGCAGAAGGGGCCAAGATCGAGGAAGACACAGAGGTGAGGCCCAGCGGCCTGCAGGTGCCCAAGGGCGTGCTCCCAGGGTCGCGGTCACCCTGGGCTGTTAGCAAGCCTCGGGGGTTGGTGAGCTCCTGCAGGCACCTCCACCGCCGGGTGAGCAGCCTGCCCTGGGCGGGGAAAAGTGCCACAGAGAGGTCCAGGGGACAGCGGGCGGTCAAGTGCAGCCCCACGTGAGGGTATGCAGGCTGCCCAGAGAAGCAGCAGTGCTCCTTGGGTGCCTGTGGCCACACTGCTGTCCATCGAGGTCTGAATCAACATGGTCGCAGAGCTTTCCAGACCCAGGCAGTCAGCTGAGTGCTTGACCTGGCCGGGCCAGCAGCAGCTAGAGGAAGTGGGCCTGACGTGTTGTCGGGGTCAGACTGCATGGGTCCGATCCACCCTCAGGCTCCCCCTCAGCTGACCTGTCCAGGTGCAGCCAGGTCAAAGGCCGAAGGGGGTGGCTTAGTAAGGGGAGCCAGCAAGGGGGACCTGTGCACCTGGCAGCTCCAGGCTCCCAGAGGGCCTCTCGTAAGGCCAGGTCCTTGGGCTCCATCTGCTTTGTTGCACGTGCTGGCTTGTCCCCTGGGGTCCGCAGGCTGGTGGTGGTGGCAATGCGGGCCTGGGAAGGAGGAGGTGGGTCCTGGGGAGGAGGGGGCGCCTGCAGAAGCTTCCTCTGCCTCTCCCAGAACATGGCAGAGCAGTTTCTGGACGGGGAGCTGCCCCTGGACTCCTTCGTCGACGCGTACCAGAGCAAGCGGAAACTGGCCCACACGCGCCGGGTGAAGATTGAGAAGCTCCAGGAAATGGTGCTGAAGGGGCAGCGACTCCCGCCGGCCCCGCTGCCGCCCCGGACGTCCGAGCCGGCCCCCGCGGCCTCTCTGCCCTACCCCTCCGTGGAGGCCAGTGGCGGCCCCTCCGCCCTGCCCCGGCGCATCCCCCCACCCCCGCCCCCTGTGCCTGCAGGATGCTTGGCCACCCCGTTTGCTGCTGCCTCGGGCTCAGGACAGGCCATTCCCTACCCAGGATTACAGTGCCCGCCCCTGCCCCCCCGCGGGGGCCTCCCTGCACAGCCGGGGTTCTCTGCGCAGTTTGTGTCGCCGTACCCACCAGCTCTCCCCCAGAGACCCCCACCTCGGCTGCCTCCGCACCAGCCCGGCTTCATCCTCCAGTGAGCACTGCGGGGACGCCCTGCCCGCTGCGCTGGGCTCCCGCGGAGGCCGTGAGGCCTGCTGCTGTGCAGGGACTAGGTTCCTGGGGCCCGCCTGTCCGTCTGATTCTAGAACTGATTCTGGTGAGTAGAGGTAGAAGGCCCGCTCCGTGCGTCCAGGTGGTGTGTGCGCCGGGTGACCGCCAGGTGTCGTCATGCTGACTGCCTGCACCTTTGGGGACAGGCTCTCTTCTGCACCCGTGGGGGACCGTGACCCCCACTGGCTCAGGAGCATGGCTCATTGTCTATCTGCAAACGTCAGTTCATGTGTCCAGCCCACTTGCCACTGCAGCCCTGGTGGGGTCCACCAGCGTTGGCCAACCTACAAGGTTGGTGCCCCTGGCCAGGCTGTGCTGCCCAGACAGTGGCATGGGTCAGCATGGGCCCCTCTGCAGCACACCGGCTGCTTCCCAAGTCACAGGCACAGTTAACACTGACTGTGTCCCAGGATGGGCGTGTGGGACTTTGTACCGGGAACTGTACCCAGCGCCCTCTGCAACCTCGAGCCAGCCCGGTGGTTTCTAGGAAGAAAAGCTCCCCCAGTATTTTTACTACATGTGTAATGCTCCTGTTTTATATTTGGAAATAACTTTTTTTTGACATAGACCATTCAGGGAACTTTGTAAAAAAATGCAAATATTGTTTTGAGCAGATTGAGAAGCAGACAGGAAATGAATGCGACTTCCTGTGTGCGAGCAGCGCGCGCTTGCACCTGTAGTGCCCGTGCCCGTGCCTTAGCCTCCCTGCCAGGCCTCTGGCCCGTGCAGGGCTGGGCCCTGGCAGCTCCAGCAAGTCTGGCCACCTTCAGCTGGGCCCAGCTGACTGGCGGCTGGGCCTGGGGTGGGTGGGGTGGTGTACGCATCGGCTCTTCTGCCTCTGGGGGGTCTCCCTACGTGTGCCAGTCCCCAGGACCCAGCTGGGGTTGGGGCAGGCTGGAACCACACACCTGTGGCTCACGGGTGAAGCTTGTTGTCAGTGGGCTTGAGCTCGAGGCCACCAGCCTGTCCTCAGCTACCCTGCACTCCTGGACTTGAACTCTACTGTATTGACTGTAAAGGAAACCCAACTGCCTAGGACGATTCACTGCTCTGCCCGTCAGGCAGGCTTGCCACGTCCTGTGAATCTCCAGCAGCAAGTGGTGCCACACACACACTCCCCTTTACCTCTGTCGCCAGCCATCGGGGTGCCCACGGCCCCGCAGTACCGCAGCTAGGCACGAGTTCTGGGTTGGCACAGTGAGGCCGCTGGGCCGGCTGCACTGTCCCCACCTAGGGCTGCGTGTGGCGCGGGTTGTAAAGCTGTAGGAGCCTTTTTAATAAACAAAATCGTTGGCCACAGTCCTGTCCTTCCTTGCCAGGGTGTGCCTGTGGGTCTGGTTCTGGAGTGACAGCTGGGGTCCCGGCAGAGGTGCCGAGACGGGCGGTGCGGCCAGTGGGGCATTCCTCCAGTCTCCCAGCAGGGATGGGCAGAGGCAACATGCTCCTCCCAGGCCCTCTGCGTCGCTCAGGCTGGCAGGCCTCTGTGCACAGGGTTGTCGCGGGCCGTGCTGTGATGGAAGGTCCTGTGGAGCTGGCTTTGGGCATTTTCCTGTTGGTGTCTCAGGGTTTAATTGCAATTCCTGTTCCATCCGTGGTCCTCCCAAACCGGTTCTCCCCAGATGCATGCAGTTACTGGGGGGCCAAAGCTGGGTGCCAAGGGCCCCACCTGGGCCTCCCAGGCAAGTGGTCTGTGGGGGGCAGCAGGTAAGGCTCCAAGCTAAGCTGTCCCATGTGAGTGCAAGTGTCCTGGCTGCCAGGCCAGGTGCCACCACCCCTGCTAAGTTGTGTCGAGTGTTCTCCCGTGCCTTCTGTGCTGTGGTCTGGCTTTTGTCCTTGCCTGTCCATGCGGTCTCCCACTGAGCTGCCGGGTGCCCGTCACCTCCATCGTGCCGAGCTGTCTGCTAAGCTGTGCCGTGTCCTCCTGTGCCCACCATGCTGTATGCTCTGTGCCTGTTGTATCCGCTGAGCTGTGCCATACACTTGTGTGCCCATCATGCCCATTGCTGTGCTATCTGTGCCCGCCGAGCTGCGCTTACGTCCTCTGCCACCCCTGCTGCGTCTGGTTCTCTGTGTCCCAGTGAGGCCCTCTAGTGAAGGTAAGCCTGCACGCTCCCTGCCAGTGCTGGTGCCCAGGGCCGCCAGGCTGAGGGCCTTGCCCCAGGAGGCTGTTCAGAACCCTGCCTGTGTGCGCTGGGGCTTCTGGGGGAGCAGTCTCCCTTTGCTGGCAGGGAGTTCATGCCAGTTCCCGTTCCCAGCGCCTGCTAGGAGTCTGTGTCCCTGAATTGGGCCTTGCGCGGTGCCGGCCGCTCCTCTGTGGGCCTTGGGGCTCACATGCAGTACCAGGCAGAGTGGCAGGCACAGCCAGAGACTGTGCCTCTCACTGCTGCCCAAGTCTAAAGAATTCACCTGGAAGGCAGAGCTACAGGGACACAGGTCTTCCATCCACTGGTTCATGCCCCCCACGATTAGAATGGCCAGGCCACTGCTGGGAGCTGCTGCAGGGGTCCAATGTGGGTGCAGAGCCCAAGCACTTGGGCCATCCTGAGCCACTTTCCTAGCACAGTGGCAGGGAGCTGAAAGGGTAGTGGAGCAGCCAGGACACGAACTGGTGCCCCCTGGGATGCTTAGTACTACTGAGATGGGGCTTCCTGGTTAAGGCTTGTCACAAGGACTTGCTTGACCTGAGGAAGCCTGACCCAAGCAGTCACCTCCTGCAGTTGCTGCCAGCTTGTGTCTGGGAGACGGTCACTGGCTTAGGCAGGAGTCACGTGGCCTTCAGACAAGGAGCAGGCATGGTGACCCTAGCGCCCCAGGGAACCCAGGTGGGGGAGCTGGGAGTCTGGTCTGTGGTCAGGAGCCCTTGGTGTATAGCTGCCTGGTCACATGGTCAGCCCCAGGACCACCTGCTGGTGGGGACACTGTCAGCAGCTGCTCAGCTGGCAGTGGTAGCATTTGGAGAGCCTGTGGGGCGTGCAGGCTGCAAACCATAGGAGCTAGCACTGGCATCCCCTTATGGGCATTGGCTTGTGTCCCAGCTGCTCCACTTCTGATCCAACTCTGTTTATGGCCTGGGAAAACAGAGGCTGTCCTACACCCACAGGAGACCCAGAAGCTCCTGGCGTCACACGGGCTCAGGTCCAGCCACTGGGGAGAGAACTGACAGATCTCTTACCGTGTCTATCTGAAAGGGACCTTCTTTGAGATGACAGCCCCATGGCAGAGCAGTACCTGCATGGCTTCCTGCAGGCCCGGGCCAGGCCCAGTGTGGCAGAACGCATGCCTAGAGAAGGAGGAGCCTGCACAGCCACTTGGGCCTAGGCAACAGTCACAGCGCACTTTATTGTCAGTTGGACATGGCGTGCTGCCCAGCACTCACCCTGCCAACAGTCAGTAGCAGGCAGACGGCTGGGAGGCTAGGGGTCCAGTCCAGCTCCTGGCTGTGCCTGCCCAGCCAAAGCCATACCCCACCTTAGCCCCCACAGCAAGTCCTGGCTTCTGGCTTGCTCTTAGCACACAGGTGGATCTGGGGCCAAGCCCTGACCTTCAGAAGGGCAGGCAACAGGCCCTCAGGGTAGGCAATGGGTGATGGGGCACAGCCAGGTCCAGAATGGAAAACAGGAAATGGGTGGTGGTGGCAGGTTCCAGTTGGAACTGGTACTTCCTGGAGCAGAGGTGGCCCCTGCCAGGCTGCCCGGCCCTGCAGAAGCAACAGCAGCCACTTCCTGCACCTGGCTCAAGGAGAAGTGGGTGGCATGTGCCTTGTTCTGCCTGTGGCTTGAACCATTGGGCACCATGGAATCGGCATGCTGGGACTGCAGTCTCAGGCAGAGGTGGCCCCTACGTGGCAGGTCTCCCAGTATGTTCACCATGATAAAGAGTTGTAATAGCCTTGCAGCTCAGGACCAACAGGCAGGGGGCTGGCAGCCTGGGGGACACCCCAGGGTGGGACGTGGCCCCAGAGCAGCCCCGCGAGGCCTGGACCCCAGAGGGCCTTAGGAGTTCAGGAGCTGAGCTGGGTAGACACCATCCTTGTTGAGCTGTGGGAACTGAAGGCAAGGGCTCAGGGTGTGTGGCCCAGCCGGGGGCCAGCTGCCCCCTCTGGAAGCCTCCACATCCCAGCACCCTGCACCTGTTGGTCCTGTCTCAGGGCCACACTGGGCTTCTGGGCCAGCGGCGGCTTCTTGGTCCCAACCCGGGGGGCAGCAATGGGTGGGCTGGGCTCCTCCTCGCCTGGTGACCCCACGCCGCCGGCCAGCACGTAGTGCTGCTTCCGCAGTTCCCCGAGCCGCACGCGTTCCGCCTCCAGCGTCTTCTCCAGCTCCAGGACCCGCACCTGCAGCCATGGCACGCAGCCCCTCAGCGCAGCCCAGGGCCCCTGCCCCCTGGCCCTGGGTCAGCCACGAGGTGCTGGCTCACCTGCGTCTCCATCTCCTGCTTCTTGAGCTTGATGAGCGACAGGCCAGAGAAGTCCATGGTGTCTGTGACCAGAGGGCAGGTGAGCGTGTGGGTGCCCGTCCCGCCTCCCCCAGGGATAAGGCCGCCACACCCCCAGCACTCGCCTCGCTCCTCAATCTGCTCCTGGCCCGACTTGGTGGAGGCCACCACGTTGGCGGCCATCTCGTTGACAGTGCGTGAGCACTCCTGCAGGCGGCTCAGGTGGGGGCTGTGTTTGCTGGCCTTCACCTGGGTGGGGTGGTGGCGGGCCAGTCAGTGTGGGCCTGCCAATCAGTGTGAGCCAGGTCAGGGCCTGGGGTGTGCCAGCTGCCTCACCTTAGAGGCTGCCACCAGCTGGGCCGTGCTGGCCGCGATCTCATGCGAGCAGACTATGAGCTCCTCGTACTTGCCCGTGTGCAGGACCACCTTGTCCGCAGACTCCCTGCAGGGAGGGGCCCACGGGGGCCTGGGTCTCTGACCCTGTGGATGGCCAGGGACACCCCCCGCCCTCCACCCCCTGTCCCCCACCCCTGACATACACCAGCTGCGTGGCTCCCCAGCCCACGGCCTTGGAGGCGGAGATGAGACCTTCAGTCCAGCGCGAGTTCTTGGCATAAAATTCTTGTTGCGTGGCTGCCCCCTAGTGGCAAGAGGAGGACAGGGCAATGGAAGAACATGATCCTGCCCCAAGCCACAACCCTCCTGCCAAGCAGGGATGCGGGGAGTGAGCGAGAGAGAGAGAGAGAGAGAGAGAGAGCAAGAGCGAGAGAGAGAGAGAGCGAGCCAGAGAGAGAGAGTGAGCGAGAGAGAGAGAGAGAGAGAGAGAGAGAGAGAGAGTGTCTGTGTGTGTAGAACAGGGGTATTTGCTGAGCGGTTGGAGTGTGTCTATAGGGGTGTGTGGGGTGAAGTATGACCTGACCCGAGGCCCCCCACCGACTCACCCTGCCACTCTCTACTATTTCCTTCTGCAGGCAGGTAGAGGTGGTCACCAGGAGCCGGATGGCCTGCCAAGACCAAGACAGTGTGACCAGGGGCCTCCCAGGCCAAGCTCGGCCACCCCGGGGTCCTGGCCACCCACTCACCTTCATGAGGTCTGTGCAGGAGTTAAGGATCCTAGGAGGCGAGACAAGAAGGGGACACGATGGGCTCCGCCACAGGCCCTGACACCTCGCGGGGCCTGGCTGACCCCTGACCTGGGGGCTCCATGGGGGACCCACCTTGGGCTGGGGCCTGGGAGCTCACCTCTCGTTCACCTCCAGCTTTACCCCTGAGCTCGCATGGCGGGCCTGGTTCATCATGTCCTGCAGAGAGCCAGGGCTGAGTGAGGACTGAACTCGCTGCCCAGCCAGGACGGGGTGGAGGCTTCCTGGCTCACCTCGATCCTCCGCACGGCGTCTTCAATGGCTGCAGATGTGGCCGCCATCTCCTTGTCCACCACGGCGCCCAGCTCCTCCTGCTGCACGTCCAGGCTCTTGGGCTTCAGCTCCTGGGAGGATGGGAAACAGGTGCGTTCAGACGCACCAGCCCCACGTGGTGGAGGCGGGCCCCGGGGGTCTGCCCCACACCCAGCACTGGACACTCACCTGGCCCAGCTGAAGGATGCCCTGCAGGGGACCGCGCACCAGGCCTGGCTGTGCCCTGGCCACCCCCTGCCGGTCCTGCAGCTGTTGTGTGAGCTCCAGCGCCCGCGCCCCGCACTCCCTGCAGCTGTCCAATAGACCTGGGGGACAGGGAGAGGCCCATGAACGGGGCAGAACCCCCGGACACCCACTCCCCTCTCCCGGGGCCTGGGATCCACTTACGGTCAGCAGGGTCGGTGGGGGCCAGATGGGAGGTGGCAGCCCCGTTTATGATGGTGTCTGCAGCCAGGTGAGAGAAGCGGGCCAGGGCCGCCACCAGGGCTGAGGCATCTGCGGGGTGACAGGCAGGGTGAGGGGGGGCGCAGCCAGCTCCTTGGCAGAGAGGGGAGTCTCGCACTCACCTGCTGGGGAGGCTAGGTACTGGGCATGGCCCTGCTCCAGGGCGCTCACTGTGTCCACGGCTGCCTGGGCCCTGCTCACCAGGTAGTCTGCAAGCCAAGAGGAGCTGAGGCCTCGGGCCCACACCGCCCACAGCAGGGCATGTATCCCGGGGGCTGAGGCCCCAGTCCCACCCCGCCCACAGCCAGGCTGGGCACAGTGGCTGCCAGCAGGCACGTACCCGGGGAGCTGGTGCAGCGCAGGTGTAGGGGGTCGTCCAGCTTGCCCACTGCATCGTGGAGGATGAGCTCAGCCTCGCCAGCAGCACCACACAACATCACAAACTGCTCGTCCAGCAGCCTTTGCCGCAGCCCCTGCTCCTGGGCCTCCTGGAGAGGAGGGGAAGCTTAGAGACCCCTGAAGGCCGGCTCTGCTCCAGCTCACCTCAGGGAAAGACCCTCCCCTCCAGGATGCTGCAAACTCGCTGTGGCCTCAGTGAGTAAAACCGCTGCTGGCTTCCCTCAGAGACAGTGGTTCAAGTCCTGGCTGCTCCCCTTCAATCCAGCTCCCTGCTGACAACCTGGGGAAGCAGCCAGTGGGCCCTGCACTGACAGAGACCAGAATGAAGTGTAAACGTGAAGGCTCCATTGTCCCAGACACCCAAGTGGCTGGTGGATGTGACAAACCTCGCCTGTCAGCCAACAGGGAAATGGCAGGCACACTGTGCCCTTGCAGCTGAGAGCATGAGAAGCAGGGCCGGGGCTCGGGCAGGCACTGCGGGCTGCCAGGGGCTCCTACCTTCTCCTCCAGCCGCCCCTGTAGCTCCTGCTGGGCCTGGCTCAGCACCGCCTCCTTCTCCCGTGCCAGGTTCTGGGCTGCCAGCAGCTCGGCCTCCCGCTGCCGCACGGCCCTGCTCAGGGCGTCCTTCTCTGCGCTCAGCGTGTCCAGCCTTGAGCTCAGCTCAGCCCCACTCTGCAAACACGGGGTCCTGAGCAGGCTCCCAGGCAGCTGTGGGTGCCCCCCAACCGAGAGCCCCGCAGACCCTGTACCCCAGTGCCACCTCAGGAGGCCCCCCGTGGCACCTGCTGTGTGCGGTTCAGGGCCTCCTGGGCATGCTGCAGCTCCCCGGCCTTGGCCTCCAGCTCCCGCTTGAGCTGCTCCACCTGGTCACTCTGCTCCTCCAGCTGGGACAGGGCAGCGTGTCACTAGGGCAGTGGGACTGGGGGGCACAGAAGGGCATGGGCCAGCAAACCACGGGCGCACCTTCATCTCCGACTCGCGCTTAACCTGCTCCATCTGGAAGGCCAGCTGCTCCTTCACACGCGCCACCTCCTCCTGGCTCTGCTGCGTCACCGTCAGCTGCTTGGCCGTGTCCGCATTCTACGTGGGCAGGGACGGGCTCAGGCTCTGCCCGCCAGCCTGGGCCCTGCGCCCCACTCCCTGCCGGGCACCCACCTTCCGCAGCAGCTCGGCGTGGGTGTTGATGAGCTCACTGTGCTTCTCCTTCAGCCTGCTGTAGCGCAGCTCCGTGGCGCTGGCCCGTCCTGCGATGGCAGTGGGGTTGACTCCTGTCCCTGCCCGTGCCCTCTGCGACCCCAGGCCCGTGGACACGGCACTCACGCTCAGCCTCCTCGCGCAGGCCCCGGTCCTGCTCGCCCTCGCGCTGGGCGGCCTGCAGCTGGGCCAGCTCGTGGCGGAGCTGCTCGTTGTCCACCAGGGCCTTCTGCTTCTGCTTGCGCTGCTCCTCCAGCTCGGCCTCGAGCGCGTTCACCTGGCCCTTGAGCTGCGCCACGTAGCGCTGGGCCTGCGGGCGGCAGAGGGCGCTGTGGGCCGCGGGCCGGCCTGCAGGCTCCCACAGGTCCGTCCTCGGACTGCCCACTCACCTCCAGCTTCATCTTCTCCAGCTCTGCCCGCAGCGCCTCCACCTCGCGCTTCAGGGTCTCGATCTGCAGGTCCCTGTGGACGCAGGCTGTCAGGCCCACGGGGACTGGGGGACCTCTCGTGGTCAGGCCCCGCCCTGCGCAGCCACCTGGGCCCCTCACCTTTCATCCCTCACCGAGCCGTTGGGGGGCCCGAACGTCTGATCCAAAAGGTCAGCCACCACCTGCGGGGCAAAGCAGGAACCCTCGCTCTCTGCCCTGCGCCCCTCCGCGGCTGGCCACGCAGTGGGCTGGGGGGGACACTCACTGCTGGCTCCTCTGCGGGGGGGCCCGTGCTGATCTCAATCAGGTTCTCTGGTTCCTCCTCCTCCGGGGCCTCCTCCGGGATCACCACCACGGGCTTGATGTGCTCCGCCAGGGCCGAGGCCCGCAGAAAGTTGGGGGGTCCCTGCGGGGACAGCTGCTCAGCCACCACTCCCGCATGAAGGCCTCCCCGACCATGGCCTCTGAGCCCAGGACTGTGGCCTGGTGGACAGCAGGGCCCCCAGCACCCCACGCACCTCAGGCAGCCGGGGGATCTGGATGAGCCGCTTGAAGTAGAGCATGTCGGAAGCTCGGCGGAAGAAGTTCCGGAGGCTGCGGGGAACCACAGGGTCAGGAAGGGGCCGTGTGCACCCCTCCCGGCTTGGCCTGACGGGCTCGGCCCTCCCGGGCTGCTACCTGTGGAACTGCTCATGGAAGCGGTCCCTGTGGCCTTGCAACGTGTCCGCAGGCAGACCTGGGGAACACAGTGTTCAGGGGACCCCTACTCCTCCCCAAACCAAAAGCAGATGGGGGAGACCCCCATGGCCAGCCCCAGCCCCTTTCAGGAAGGGGTCAGGAGACCCTGGGCTCTAGTGACGGAAACCTACAGCTGGTTTCATGGGCCAGCTGCTCCCAGCAGACCCAAACTGCAGGGCCCGGCTCGGCGTGGGAGCCAGCAGCGGGCACCCCGAGTCCCACTGTGGCCGACCCTGTGAGCAGGCACTCACAGGAGTGGAGCTTGAACATGAGCTTCACCGTGTAGTGGTACAGGTGGCTGCAGTCCTGGATGACCTGGATCAGGGGGGCCAGGCGGCACTGGCCCGAGGACATCTGGGACACGGCGATGGCGGTGTTGAGCTGCCGGAAAACTGGGCAGGGCAGGCATGACCCACCGGGTCAGAGACCCCTCAGGCTTTTCTGGTTCTTTCCAGGACACTGTATCCAACAGCTGCCCCTGAGTCCCCACAAGGCAGAAAACCCAGAACCATCAAGAGCCCTTCCAGATGTTTCCATCTGCTGGGGCCACAGAGCTCACGCTAGAGGCCTGGGAGCCTCTGCATCTAGATGCTTTCCGGCACCGCTGGGAGGGTGGTGGTGGGGACATGCCCTTCCCTCACCCTGCTGGGCCGCAGAGGACATGGGCATGGCACATGCGCTGTGGACACCTGCCCTGTGTGGAGTCCTGGCTGCGCCAACAACCCCCTGGGCTCTGCCAGCCACAGGGCACTGAGGGGCCGGCGAGTTCCCTGTTACCGCAAATCCTCCCACCCCAGGCTTGCTGTTCCTGGGCTGGGGTCCACCAGACAGGAAGTAGGCACTGCCCCCAGCCTACCTCCTGGGAAGCCAGGCAGAATAAACAGCCGAGACCACCCACACCCCAGCACCTGGGCCTGGTGTCCCGGGCGGCAAAGGTGCCCTGCCGGGCCCTGGGCCTTTCCTCCACGTCCAGGAGTGGCAAGTACAGCTTCTCGCCACAGCGTCTCCCTCCCCCAGCACGGCTGCCGGCTCACCAGACTCCGAGAGCTTCAGCTCGCAGTCCATGTAGTCGAACATCTCCACGGTGAGCTGGAAGCTGCAACGGAGCGCGGAGCTGAGGCAGGGCCCCCGAGCCACCGCCACCCCGGGCACTTCCCTGCCAGCACCACCTGCTGGTGCCCCGGGAAAGCCAGAGACCCCCGGACCGTGTGGTCCCCGGGGCTCCCAGCTGCCGTCGGCCCAGGAGGACGTCACTGCGGTGAGACTCACATGTTGTTGACGTCAGACCCGGCGGCCTTCTCCAGCACCTCGTCTGTCACCTCCAGACCCGCGGGGAACTGGGGGTGCTGTGAGAGAGTCCCCTCAGCAGCAGCCCCCACACCCAGTCCAGCTCCAGCACGGGGGTGGACGTGCCCCGTGCAGCCACTGAGGCTCACCCAGGCTGGTGGAGGCCAGGCAGGGAGCCAGCCCGGTCCACCAGAGCCGGGGCCTCGGGACCAACCCGGTGCTCGGCTGCATGGAGGGGCCAGCCCAGGAGCTCCGCCCCCCAGGCTACCTTGAGGTGGAAGGAGATCTTGGTCAGCAGCAGCCTGGTGTAGACGCTCACCAGCTGTCCATAGCGGTCATGCAGGTGCCCCTGTGGAAGGGCTCGGTCACTGGACAGCCCAGCGGAGGTGGCCGCGTGTGTCCCCCATGGGTGTCGGGCTCACTGAACAGGCGTTGCCTGCCTCCAGCTGTCTTATCACGCCTGTCACTCAGTCCTACAAGACCCTGGTGAGCCAAGGGCAGGAGGCCAGGCCAAGGGGCCCATCCAGGATGCTGGTGGCAGGTGGGAGTGGCCCCGGCGCCTCACCGTGCCCCCAGCACTCCACGGTTTTTACAAACAGGAACATGGGTCAAAGGCAGGGGCTGTGCGTCTCCCTGGGCTCCAGCATGTCTCCCGGTATCCCCGGTGACAGGAGGGGCACCCCTCAATGTCACCCGGGCCTCGGTCACCTCTGCCCAGCTTGCAGGGCCCCAAGCCTTCTAAGCAAGGCCCGGCCAGCACGTACCCACAGGTCCCCAATCTCGCGGATGTTGCTGCGGTACCGCTGGCAGTCATGCAGCACCTGTGGGGGAGGGCAGACGGAAGTGTCCCGAGAGTCCCTCCCCCACGCTGCAGGCGGGGCGGGGGCACGGGCGGCACCCACTCACATTGGGATGGCCATCCCGCAGAACCTTGTGCAGGACATGGCAGAATTTCCAGCTCAGGATGGGGCTGCTGGGCAGCGGGAGGCCGATGGCATAAGACCAGAAGGTGAAGGCGCCCTTCTCGTGGTGTGTGCCCAGAATGATACCTGCCAGGGTCAAGGCCAAAGGCACACGGGATGTACGCAGTGGCGGAGGGGGCGGGCAGGGGCACCCCCAGAGCAGGCAGGTGAAGGATACGGCGTGCGTGCTTCTCCTTCACCGGCACCTCCTGGTTGTTGATGGCTTTGCTGATGCTGATGGCCTGGGGAGGCGGAGAGGCCAAAGGTCAGGACCTGTGGGGCAGGCCGGCCCACCTGGGTCAGACGGGGGCCCAGCACAGCAGCTGCGGCTGGACCCCATGGCCACCTGTGGCTTCCTAACTCACGGAGGACGGGGGAGCCTGCTCACACACCAGTCACAGCCTGCTGTCACCTCACCTATGGGGGAGACTACCCCTCCCTCCAGCCCTGCAGCCCCTGCCAGCGAGGCTGCCCCCTCACCGTGGGGCGTCCCCGGCTCACCCGGGTCAGGCCCGCACAGCACCGGACTGGGGGCAGGGCTGGCCCTCTTTCACACACTGGGCCCATTGTGGCAGCTCATTGGGATGCGGGCACCTGCGGCAGCCTTGGCCGGCTCGCCCGGGCCCCCGGGCTGGACAGCAGCTCCCACCACCTGCTCCTCGGCCCGGCCTGCACCCCAGGCTTAGTCCTTCCCTCCAGACGGGTGCCTGGGGGGGATGCTGTGTCCCCGGTGGTGCGACCGCAGTGATGAACAGCTGCATTTAGCGAGTGCCCCCGGTTAGGTCCCAGTGGGGAAACCAAGGCAAGGAGGGGTTGGGTGGCCCACCCAAGCAGCCAAAAACGACCAGGCACAGAAGCAGCTGGGAGGATTGAGCTGGGGCCCACCCAACCCCAGCCCCTAAGGGGCCACCTGCGACCGAGCCCTATCACCCCATCACGCCTGCGGGTCACTCACCCCCGCTCTCCCCACAGCACGGCCTGGCACAGGTCGGATCAGGAGTATGGCCCACAGGGCACTGCCCCACTGGCCCCAGACAACGTTGTGGCTGCCGGGCCCTCGGCGGGAACACTGCCCTGTTGTGTGCGGGTGGGCAGATGTGCCGGCAGGCACGGGGCCACACAAGGAGGAGCCTGTGGGAGCCCAGGCCGCCACACTGGTGGGCTGTCCTCGGGACCAGCCCAAGCTGGGCACGCTGGGTGTCCTTGCTGCCTGGGCTGGGGAAGGAGGGGGCACAGTCTGTCAGGGCTGGCTCCCAGGGGCTGAGCTAAAGGGAGGTCCAGGCCCAGGCCTGGGGCCACCAAACCAGGACCCTAGGACCTTGAGGGGGGATAGGGGCAGAAGACCTGGGGTAGGTGGCACTGGCCTGCAGTCTGACTGCTGGGGACAAGGCGCTGGCAGAGGCAGCTCTGCCCACTGCGGGCCAGAGAGGACCCTTCTGGGCCAGGGATTTGCAGGAGCAGCAGTGGGGTGCTTGGGGCCGTCACAAGACAGCTGAGGGACCGGGGAGTGATTTCCAGGGTCCCTGGTATCACCCCTCACTGCTGGGACAGCCCCAAGTCCCAGGAAAGGCCTGGCCTTGACCAGGCAGAGGGGTAGGGGACACAGAGCCAGCAGGTCAGGGTGAGCCCACTGCCCCGCAGGCAGGAGACCACGCCCTGGTCCTGCTGTCCCCATCCGCCTCAGCCAATCGCTGAAGCCCCAGCGCAGGGGCCAACACAGCCATCCTGTCCAGCTTCCAACCCCAGCCAGGGACCTGGGCCGAGGCGAGCAGCCCCACGCTAGCAGGCCCGGAGTAGCCTCATTGAGGCGCCAGGGCCCTTCAGAGGCCATTTACCGAGGCAGACACGGGATTTCTGTAGCTTGGGCCACACGTGGAGGAGCCCACAGGCAGGGTGACCCTCACTGACGCCTCCCATGGCTGCTCCAAAGGAGGCGGCTGGCACCCAAGGGAAGGAGCAACCACAGCTCCTCAGCCCCAGGCTTTGAGGGAGTCATGCTGGTGGCTGGCAGGAGGGCTCGGCCCAGGTCACGCCCCCATCGCCTGCCAGGACGGTTTCATCCTGGTGACATCACCAAAAACCTGTCTGTGGCACAACCTGGGGGCTGAGTCAGTCCTGGCAGGAGAACCCACAGGCGAAGCTGGGGAAAAACAGCAGCCCTGTCTGAATTCGCCTCTGACCACAGCCCAGGCATTCCTGGGGGAGTACTGCCCGTCTGTGTGCAGGCCGCACAAGGGAGGGGCCGTCTGGGGGAGCAGCTGGTGAGCAGCCTGCCGGAGTGGCTGTGCCACCTTCTCCCGGGAGCCAAACACGCCCATCTGCTCATCCATGCCCATTTCCGGTCCCCACAACTGGCTGCAGGTCGGGAGAAGGCACCCCCAGTTGCTCTGCATGGGGGCAGGGCAGCCCAGCTAGCTGGCAGGGGGCGGGGCTTCTCTGAGCCAGCAGGTGCAGCCTCCAGCGTGGGCAGCGGCTTTCATTCACAAACAGCTCAAGAGGGGAAGTCCCAGGCTGGCTGGCCTCAAGTCCCGTCCCTTCCCCCACACCGGCCCTGGCCTGGAGGCATCTGGAAGGCCGGTGTCTCACCTCTCCAGCCAACAGCCTGTCCTCCTCAGCCTCCAAGTTCAGGCAGAGTCCCCCAGGCCACGAGCTACAAGAGCCACAGGACGCTGACACCTGCAGGATTCTCACCACACCCCAAGGGGCCGCCTGCGGGCATCCCCAGGCGCAAGGTGGAAAGGTGGGTGGGAAGCCGTCCCTAGCCTGGACTGTCACCTCTGAGACAGCTCTGCCAGGAAGCAGCCACCCAGGCGGGGGCAGGCGGGGCAGGGCCTCTGGCAACCACCTGCTGAAGCCACGAAGCTGGCTTCCTGAGCGGGTGACCGTGACCTGTCATCCGCTCGCTGGCTCGGGCGGGCCTTGGGGGTGGCCTCACAGGGTGGCTGGGGCCCAGCTCCTCCTCCCCTGTCAGAAGAACCCTGGGGCCTGTGTGTACCCACTCAGCCGGCACCTCCAGGTACAGTCCCCTAGCAGTGCAGGGCAGGTGGAGGGCCTTGGCTGCCCACGAACTGGCCTAGCTTCTTCCAGTCCCTGGGGCCAATGAACCTCCCCGCCACAGAGGCAGACAGCGCCCCTACCCCCTACGGCAGGGTGGGGGGCTAGGCAAGGGCTGTGGCCCACTCGCCTGGCCAGGTCAGAGATGGGAGGGGAGTGGCCCAGCAGGTGCAGGGCACCAGGGCTCCCGGAGCTGCACACCTGGCGGACCAGGAACCCAGGGCAGGGCTGGCAGCCAGTGTGCCGACGACTGGCATTCATTTGACAGAGGGATGCAGGGCGAGTAAGTGAAACCCTCAGATGACCACAACTGGGCAGCAAAGCCGGAACTCAATCCAGGTCCCCGAATGGTGACAAGGGCCCTTACTGCCAGCTGCCCCCAGGGTCTACGCTGGCAGGTCTGGACAGGACCTGGGGGAGTGAGCCCAGGCAGTCTGCAGTGACACGCAGGTGCCAGGTGGGCCGAGCGCCTGCCCTGATCTACTAACGGGATTCTAGACGCCACCGGCCTCGGCAAACTCCCCAGCGCTGGGGGGCCAAGATGCACACAGAGGTGCCAGACCTGCCTCCAGGGTTCCTACCCACCAGCCCAGGCTCCAAACCCTTCCACCCTTCCTGGCTGACAGCCCCAGCTGCCAAGTCCCGGGGAGTCAGGGTTCACGCCGCTGTCAGCTCTGGGGTCAAACCCATGGCAAGAAAACACCCACTGCCACTGTCCCCACAGGGACTGTCCACTAAGGACATGAGCCCAGCCTGTGCCCCACTAGTATTCCACAGACAATGCCAGGGTACCCTGCAGCCAGGCCGAGAGCCCCTGAGCTGCTGGGGTTGGCACTGTGGCGCAGTGGGCTAAGCACTTACCCAGGAGCCTGCCATCTCACAGGAGCCCCAGTTTCCATCCTGGCTGCCCCACTTCCAATGCAGCGCCCTCTGAATGCTCTGGGAAAGCAGCGGAAGCCGGTCCAGTGCTGGGGCCTCTGCAGCCTCACAGGAGACCCGGATGGAGTCCAGGCTCCTGCCTTCAGCCCGGCCCAGCAGTGACTGCTGTGGCCATCTGGGGAGCGAGCCAGCATGGAGAGCTCTCAGTCGCTCCCTTTCTCCGTAACCCTGCCTTTCAAATAAATAAATCTTTAAAAGTCCTGCGTTGCCAATCCACGTGGCTCTCCTTGGGATCTGGGTTGCGCTGGGGCTGATCCGGAAGCTCAGTGGGCAGCGGGCCCTGCGCGGTGACGTCAGGCCTCCATGTCCCAAGGCAGACCAAGGCCCACCAAGGAGGCCGCAGCTGGACCTGAGCCCTGGCCACACGTGGGGAGTCCTGGCCTCAGACCCCGACCTCACAAGCCTTCTGGAGGTGGAGGGGAGGAAGAAGGCAGCTGGCAGAGCTTGCTGTGCCCCCCTGGGCACAGGGATGCCACTTTCAACTGCCATCAACTGAGTGGCTTGAAACTACACAAACCAGGGTGGGGGCCTGGCATCCCTATGGACACCGGTTCGAGTCCTGACTCCTCCACTTCTGATCCAGCTTCCTACAAATGTGCCTGGGAAGGCAACGGAGGATGCCCAAGTACTAGGGAGACCAAGTACGTGTGGGAGATCCAGAAGCTGCTTCTGGCTCCTGGCTTTGGACCAGCAGCTGCAGCCATTCCAGAAGTGACACTCACAGAGGCCAGGAGACAAAGACCAGGGATCCCGCGGTGCCAAACGCCAGGGGCCTCGGCCTAAGCTCTCTCCTTCCTGGCCTGCCCAGGTTCCTTGGCTCCACCTTCAAGGTCATGGCCTGCATCACTCCCACCTCCTTCGTCCACCAAAGTCCCCTGAGATGAGGCTGGGCCCCCCAGAGGCCAGGACTGCGCCCAGCACCCACACGCTCCAGGACTTGGCACGTAGCTCCCGTGGTCACCTTGCGTCTCACACCGCAGCAAGGCAGGTAGAATGACTCCTAGCTTTGCAGAGGAGACAGAACCAGGGGCTAGCAGCTTGCCCACCCCGCCCTACCCCCATGGGCTGGCCAGGATAGCGGTGCAGTCGCCTAGCACAGTGGGCTAACCGCTGCCTAGGGCTGTGGGCAGCTGGCATCAGGGCGCCTGTTCAGGGCCCAGCCACTTCACTTCGACCCAGCTCCCTGCTAATGAGCACCCTGGGAGGGCCCAGAAGCTGGCTTGAGAGCTTGGGTTTCTGCCACCCACGCGGGAGGCCTGGGTGCATTTCCTGGCTCCCAGCTCCGAGCTGTAGCTGGGCAGGGCATTGGCGTCGCAAGATCTCTGCCTGTCTCCATCCCTGCCTCAAGCAGCTTCATGGAAAAGTCAACCGACTTGGGCGCCCAAGTGTCTGGAGTCTCGGCCTGGTTTACGCCCGGTGCAGGTGTACTGGGGCCCGTGCTGCTGTACTCGAATGGTCACCTCCAGGGGTGGGGGGCTGCACCCCAAAGAGACCCAAGTCACAGGGAAGACCAAGGCCAGACTGGCTTCCTGGATGCCACACAACAGCAGAGCCCCAGGGAGCAGGGCAGCCTGACTGGTGGTACAGGAACGGGAGGACTCTGCTTGGTCCTCAAACCCTCCTCCGGCCCTGCCCAGGGGACGGGGCACCGGCCTGAATGTGCCCTGCTGTCTGCCGTGGGGAGACCGAGCTCCCGGGCTCTCCTCTGTCAGGGCCGGTGGTTGGTGGCTAGGAGTTATTTCTGGGAACGATCTAATTAAATATTAACCTCACACAATACCTCCTTTTTACATCCCCAGTGGCTGCCTGGGACCCCACCTAAGGGGATCCTAGGACAGGGTGCAGAACAAAGCCCAGATACTACACCTCCATGTGCAGCGCGGCCTGGGGGGGTCTCTGTGCCCTCTTCCAGCCCCCGCCATCCCCAAGAAGGGGTTGGGGGCCTAAAAAGCAGGAGTGACAAAGCCACCTGCCACCCCTGGTCCTGGCCAGCCCATGCAGATTCCCGTGCGTCCCCAAGTTCCAGCCGCAGCCAGGAGTGGTCCGGGGCGGCGAGGATACGATGCCTGGAGTCCTCCCCCCACACACACCCCGAAGTGGAAAGCCGTCGTAGAAGTCGCCGCCGTCAGGCCCCATCCGGGCGGCCGCTCCCTTCACTCGCCCATCCTGGCCAGGCGAGATTCCTCGGCCCTGCATCCCGATCCAGACCGCCCGGACTCCGGCAACGCACCAGGCAGGGCCCCGCCCCGCCCAGCCCCCGGGCCCGAGGACGCCTCCGCGTGTCCCAGCAAGGGGACAGCAAAGCCGGGGACGCGGCCCCCGCCCCGCGGCGGGAAGGGCGCGGGGCCGGCGTGCCCGCCAAGTTTCCGCGCGCGCCCCGCCGCCCCGGTAAACAGGACGGGCGACGCCGAGAAACTTGCCACCCGGCCGGGCCGGCAGGCGCCCGAGGGGGAGGAAGCGGGGTTTCCCGTGCGGAAACGCAAGGCTTCGCCCCGCGGGGCCGCGGCTGCCCCAGGTGGGAGAGGGCGCGGCGCGCGGCCGGCCGTGGCCCCGAGAACCGGCGCGCCCCGACCCCGCGGCCCCGGCGCCGCTCCGCCGGCCCGAGGCGAGCGCGCCCCGCCGCTTCCGGTTCACCTGCGCGGCCGCCGCGGAGCTCGGCGTCCCCGGCCCCGGCCCCGGCCCCGGCCCCGGCCCGCCCGCCGCCCGCGCTCGCCTGCGTCTTGTCGAACTGCTCGCGCTCGGCCTCCAGGCTGTGGCCCGGCCTGCGGCTCAGCACCCGCGCCGGCACGCTCTTGATGCTGTTCATCCTGCCGCCGCCGCCGCCGCCGCTCCGAGCGCCCGCCCGCCGCTCCGGCGCCCCGGCCGGCCGCCCTCCCGCCCTCCCGGCAGGCGGGGCCTCGCGACCCGGCCCCCGCCCGGCAGCTCCGCCCCGCACACCTCCACCCGCCCGGGCGCCCGTGCGTCCCGCCTCCCGGCCGCCAGGTGCGGGCCCGGCCAGGGCGCAGCGGAAACACCGGGCCGCCCGCGCCGACCGCCCCCGGGCCGGGATCCGGTTCACCTGCGGAGACTCCCGGGGCCGGGCCGGCTCTGCGCCCGGGGCTGCACAGCCTCAGAACCTCGCTGGGGCTCCCGGCCTCAAGTTCAAAGGCTTGCCAAGCAGCTGGCCCATTCCGGCCCCGGCCCTGCCTCCGCCGAGGACGACCCCTGTGGCCTGGCACCCCGGCCTTAGCACAAGCCTCTCCTCCTGCCCGGCTTACAAAGACGGATCCTGGGGCGGGCGCTGCGGTGCGCAGGTTAAGTCTCCGCTGTAGACCCACCTGCACCCACAAAGGAGACCTGGAAGAGGCTCCTGGCACCTGGGCTCAGATCAGCTCAGTTCCGACCACTGCAGCCATTTGGGGAGTGAACCAGCGGGTGGAAGACCCTGTCTCTCTTTCTAACTGCCTTAAAAAAAATGAAGAGGGAGGTGCAACATCTCAATTGGCTAATCTTCCCTTGTAAGCACCGGAATCCTTTTTAGACTTCTGGCTTTAGCCCAGCCCCAGGTCCCAGGTGTTGCGGGCATTTGGGGAATGAACCAGTGAATGGAAGATGACTCAAGACAAAATAAAAAAAAAAAAAAAAAATTAAGAACAAATGTGTAAAATGCAGAACTGAAACAAACAAGTGAACAAACCCACACAAGTGCCTCTGGGGACCCAGGGAAGCACCCTGCCGCTCTCAGCCCTGTGTCTCCGGGACTCCCAAGGCAGCAGGGTGGCCTGGGCTGGCTGCATCTGATGGGCTGAGAGCCTGCAGGACAGCAGGTGCCCGGTCACTGTGCCCTGGGACTTCCTAACCCAGCCACAAGGGCCTCCCCAGGCAGGGCCGGGAGTGCTGCAGCCCCACCTGGCCCCAGGGCCTGTGCCTGGCAGGGCCGGGTCTGGAATTCTCTTACCCTACCTGTTTGCCTGGCTGGCATCTACCCATTTTCCTGACGAGCTTGGTTGAGGCATCCTTCTTCCGGGAAGCCTTTCCCAGAGCCCTCCACCCTTGACCTCTATTCCCAAACACAAGGTGTCGACAGACCTCAAAGCTTCCCTTCAGACCCTCGCCGGTCGCCCCAGGCCTGCTGTTACCCCCACAGGACCGCGAGAGGGCATGGGCTTGCTTGCACCGTGGGCACTGGCAGCGCAGAGCTGCACGCTCAGCTCACTCCACTGGGTTCCCGAGCTGGCTTGGCTGGGAAGCCGGGTATGGCTCTTCAAGGACGGATAACTGGGCACTGTCTGGGTGGGGAACTCCCCTCAGTGGCCATTGTGGCTTGGGCGGCCTCCTGAGGAGCGGTCGTGGTGTGTCTCGTCTCCTCGGTCACACGGGAGGCCCCCACGGGCCAGCAGGGCTCCCACAGAAGGACAGCAGGGAGTCCTGGGGCAGGGAGGAGGCTGCTGCCCCCAGCCTTCCTGCCATGCAGAGCCACCATGCCCACGGGCCTCTAGGGCCAGGTGTCCAGGTGCCAGCCGGCAGCCCCATGACGCAGGCACAGTGGGCTAAACAATATGGACGCCAGTTCGAGTCCCGACTGCTCCACTTCCAATCCTGTGCCTGAGAAAGCAACAGAGAAAGGCCTGAGTCCCTGCACCCTTGCACCCACATGGGGGAACCCGAAGAATCTCCAGGCTCCAGTCCAGCCTGGGCTGCTGCAGCTATGTGGGGAGTAAACCAGCAGATGGAAGATCTGTTTCTTTTTATCTCTGTATCTCAGCCTTTCAAATAAATTAATTAATTTTTAAAATATATTGAATATATATATATTAAAAATATATATATATCAGACCCAGCGATGTGGTCTAGCAGCTAAAGTCCTTACCTTACATGCACCGGGATCCCATATCAGAGCCGGTTTTAATCCCAGCAGCCCCGCTTTCCCATCCAGCTCCCTGCTTGTGGTCTGGGAAAGCAGTTGAGGATGGCCCAAAGCCTTGGGACCCTGCACCCATGTGGGAGACTCAGAAGAGGCTCCAGGCTCCTGGCTTCGGACTGGCTCAGCTCAGCCGTTGCGGTCTCTTGGGGAGTGAACCATCAGACAGAAGATCTTCCTCTCTGTCTGTCCCCTCTGAATATATCTGACTTTCCAATAAAAGTAAATTTAAAAAAAAATATTAACTATAAAATGTACATGTTAAAGCCTTGTAACTATTTTAAGCACTGCGAGACTGCTGCACGGCAACCGGAATGGCTCACACATCTCAAAACACCTAGGATGGAGAACTCGTGAAATGAGATGTGATGTCATGAGCAGCAAGCTGGCACAGTTACAGCTGTTACAGGCCCTAGACTCCTATGAGCGAACAGTACATTCAGCCGTAAAGTCACCTGGCATCAATTTCAAATCCTTCAGACTGGACCCATCCCTTAGCAGCTGAGGGGTGCCCGTGGGGGGTGGCACACACGCACACAGGGGTGATGGCCCTCTGGGGTCTTGGGCTGCGGCTCGGCCTCCTGACTCACGTGCCCTGCACCCTCACCCGTGGCACACAGCAGCATGGAGCACGAGCGAATGTGCCCAGCCTCCCTCACTCTCCCTTCAGCACCCTCAGTATAAAGCTGGGGTGGCCCCTGCACTCCTGAGGGCGTCCTCTTGGGGTGGGTGGGAGCTCCAGGCCTACGCGGTGCAGTGCCCACACCCAGAGCAGCCCCTGCGCTCCTGGGCCCAGCACCTGCTAGCTTCTGCTTAAAGCAGCCAACCCTCCCGTGTGGTTCAACCCTAAAGAAGTAGCTGTCTTTATTATTAAAAATATTTTTAATTGACTGAAGCAAATCAATTCTCTTAGAAGGGATACAGAGGCACACAGCATATTCTCTTTAAAAAACTAAATTACTGTACAAGCTCTAAGTCTGTAGTGACGACCACAATGCTTAAACACGTTGCCTTTCCAGCGAGCTTTCACTCACAGACCCCGGCGAGGGGCCTGGGCTGCTCGGCTGCCCCTGCCCACGGCCAGGCTGCACTGTGATGGGCGGCCCGCAGCGTGGGGTGTTCTGTCACTCACACAGCAGAGAGGGGACACTACTTCTCCCAGTTTGCACTGGAGCCAACTGGGGCTAGTGCTGTGGGGACACTCAATGTGCGTGGGGCTGCAGTGGCAGTGGCAGGCCAAGGGGCAGGGTCCTGTGAGCCCACTCCCCCGGGCCGTGTTTCCCTTGTGGGGGCTTGCCCTGAGTCTGCACCTGCACCATGACCTCTCATGTCTAACGCATGGCAGTGGCTAACTTGGGACCAAGCAGGACAGGGGAATCCGCAGGGTGCTTGGGCTCCTGAAGCCCTGGAATTGGCAGTGGCTGCCAGGGCCAGGCGCTGGGCCTCTGGGCTTAACCTAAGCTTCCGGCGTTGTTCAGTGTGTCTTCTGCCTTCCACACGGATGTGCAACCCGCTTCTGGGGACAGAAACAGCACTGCAACTATCAGGAGCCAGGGTTGGCTACCCTGAGCCTCCCTGCACCCTGACTCCCATCACGGAGGACCCCAGTAGAGCCGGGGCTGGCAGCCCTGCCAGGTGTCACAGCCCCTGGTCTCCAGGGAGCGTCTGCGCCTTTGCCAGCTGGTGGGCCCAGGGCGGTGCCTCTTAACACACCCGGCGGGCACGGGCAACGGGGCCCTCTCCCTTCCCCCGGGCTTGCTGGCTCCGTCCAGCGATCCACGCAGCGAGGAGAGCCACCCTCCCGTCTACATTCCCCTTACAATTGGCTGACGTTTCGCTCTGATTAGAAGATTAGACGGAGCAAGTATGTACAGTATGAACGGGTCAAGCAAAGATCAGAGGGTAACAGGGCAAACGCACAGCCTTGACTCTGAATTATCAGTGTCCCCAGGTTACTCATTAAGTCCGCGTGGAGATACAGGGAGATACGCGAAGGTGACTTACCCAGGGCTCCTCAGTGACGGACAAAGGCATTTTCCTGAGCTGACTCTTCTGAGACGTCTAAGTTCTAAAAAACAACTTCCAAATTAATTCCAGGATGACGAAATGGGGAAAAAAACGACATACAAATACAGAAGACATTACTTTAACAACCTTAGGGAATAACTAAAATATAACAAAAGCAATTCAATGCAATCGGCATCCATCCCCCCAGCCAGGGTGCACTGGCCCCCAGAGCCCGTGGGGGGTCCCCTTGCTCTCCAACTTCACAGCAGGACCACCCTGCCAGTCACACAGGCGTGGATGAGCCCTGCGATGGGGGGCCCTCTGGGTGGGAGCTGTGCCGTGGGCCATTGCTGAAGGGGATGCATGGTCTTTGGGCCTCCTTGAGTGCTGGGGTAGCTGGGTGGTGTTTTAGGGGACTGAGAAGGAAAAAAACGAAGGGAGGAAAGGGGGAGAGGGGGGAAAGTGGGAGGGGAAAAGGGGGAGGGGGAGGGGGGAGAGGGGAGGAGGGGGAGGAAGCGGCAATGGCAATGGCCAGCAGACACAGCAGACACGAGCAGCCCACGTCTCTCCCCTCCCGCCCCACACACAATGCTCCCGAGCCGTGCAGGGCCAGCGCCAGTGCATGCCACGTGCTCTCAGCGGCCTGGGCTCTGGCCCTTGCTGCGCCCGCCTCTCCACCTGCTTCACACTGCGTATGTGACACCGTCAGATAGCAGCAGGCCCACTTGTGAGCATGCACTGTACGTGTAAGCAGGCTCTCTACCACACGGCTGCGTGTTTGCGCCCACAGCCGTGTCCCTCACAAGGGCGAACGGGTGGCAGTGGCCTCAGAGCGTGCAGTCCAGACCTGCAGCGGGCCCTGGACAGCGTGAAGGAGCAAGGAGGTGCCGACAGCTGTCGCTGTGCGGACGTACCTGGAGGAAGTCAGGGGGACACGGCCACCAGGCACTGATGGACAGACGCCATGGGACACCACTCGTGCTCGGTTCAGACACACAGCACTGGCGGCCACGGCCCTCAGGCCTACGAGATGAATCCGGAGCGCTCGGGCTGCAGGGTGGCGACGGTTGCACAACGCTGTGTACTTGAGAACATGGAATGCCCACTCCAAGTGTGGGGAGGGGCTTTGAAGCACCCAGGAGGGGGTGGTCCAGTCGTCACCTGCATCCCATAGCTGAACGCCTGTTAGGGGTCTCAGCCATTTCCCTGCTGATCAGGCTGAAGTGCCTGGGAGGCAGCCAATGGCACTGGTCCCTCCCGCCCACCTTGGAGATCCAGGCTGAGTTCCAGACCCCCATCTGGAGAATGGACCAGTAGAAGAAGATTTTCCACTATTTGTCTCCCCTTTCCAATAAAAGGAGGGGAAAATTAAGTTTGTATTCATAGCGTATGACATGATGTTCCAAAATAAACACACATTTTGAAATGACTAAATCGAGCTAATTACTATACATGTCATCTCCCTTTTACGGTATGTGTTGAAACACTTAAAATCTACTGTCTTGTTTTTAAGTGGAAATCTGCCATTTTCCCATAATACTTATTTCCCGTGAGCTTTTTTAAAATTTATTTATTTTGGTCCTGGAACATCAGCCTAGCGGCTGAAGTCCTCACCTTGAATGCGCCAGGATCCCATATGGGCACAGGTTCTAATCCTGGTGGCCCCACTTCCCATCCAGCTCCCTGCCTGTGCCAGGGCCGTTCATGTGTCACCAGATGGAGGTGTCTCCTTAAGACTGCTTCTAATCCAGCTCCTTGCCAATGTGCCCAAGAAGAGGCTGCCCACCCGCGGACAGGTGCAGGTTCCTTAAGGACACACGAGACATTCTTAAGGAGACACCTCCGTCTGGTGACACATCAACGGCCCTTCCGTAAAGTCCATCTTTCTAGAAAAGCATTTCCGTGCTCTGGCAGACTCCCGTCTGTTCAGCCGGTGGCTCTCCAGCTCCCTGTTTACACAGCACATGGAGCGGCACACAGCCCTGGCCACGCCTCAGCTCCAGCGCTCCTGGGAGGACCAGCAAAGCGGTTCCGGCCCTTCCTGCACCATCTGCATGGAAGCTTTAAAATCCCGAGGAACTGACACAGCTGCTGTCGCAATGTTGGAAGAAGCGAACGCTAACCTGGGAGCACGCTGCAAGAGCAACAGGTTCATGCGTCAAGAAGTAGATGGCAGGAATGAAGGAACGGATGGCAGATAAAGGCAGAGCTGACCTGTCAACCTCAGGGCCCCACACGGGCTGAAGCTCAGGCTGCACCAGAACACGCCCAACGGGCTGACCATCAGTCCAGGGCACGAGCCCCGACCCAACAGGGCCCATTGGAGCCTCGCAGGCCTGGGACTCATCCACTTGCCACCGGCGGCTGGCCGCAGGTCTGAGGGCAGGAGTGCGCTTCAAAAAGAGAGGTCAGACAGCAATGCGGAAGCTTTCACGGGACACATGACCTGTGCTCCACCACACACAACGGGCATCTCTCACACACACACAGAATTCAGGAGGAAGTGGAGGGAAGGGGAGGAAGGCAAAGGGGGGAGGAAGGAGACAGGAGGAGGTGCGGGGCCTGTGGCCTGGGCCAGGAGAGGCGTCCCTGCGTCTCATGCGGCTTAACTGGAGCCGGAAAGGACACCTCTGAGTCGTGTGGACTGGGTGATGAGGCTGTGTAAGGGCGGTCCTCCCCCTGCTGGAGACATGGCCTGCGTTACAGGGACACAGTGTCTGGAACCCATGTGTGTGGCAGGAAAATCCAGCAAAAACAGCACAACACTGGCGGCTGCTGGAGGTGACCCCGCCCTGTTCTCGCTACTTCTGTGTGCATTTGATGATCAAACACTTGTCCGAAAGTCCCCGGAAATTCGCATGCTCAGGTCACTGCCAAGTTCCTCCTTCCTGAAGCCCCCGCTCCTGTGTCCCTGTGCCCGTGTGGCAGCGCCCCAGCCAGCAGCGCCCCGGGGGCAGGACAGCCACACTTACCCCGGGGCCGGCAGCCTTGCAGCTGACGGGCAGCAGGGTGCTCAGCTCCAGGTGGGTCACCATCTGCCGGGATTCAGCCAGCAGACGCTGCAGCTTGCTGGTGGGCGAGAAGCCATCCTGCGGAGACAGTGTCAAAGACGGACACTGGAGCTGGCCCAGCCAAGCCCTAACCACGCCGTCTGCTGCTGCGAACCCGCTCTGAGTAGCAACCAGGCTCAACAGAACTGATGGCCACTGGTCACGCCACAGCCTGATGGGAGACAACCGAGCCTAAGTGTCCAGACTCAGCTTTCCAAGCCGTGCGTCAGCAGTCAGCCCATGGGCACAGGGCGAGCCGATGCCACGGCCTGGAAGCAGGCACCACACACGTGGCAGAACAGCCGTGCGGTGGGAGTGGGGTGGAGGGACCACAGGTCCCACTGCCAGGCGCACTCACATCCCACACAGAGGGCCAGTCAGGGGCAGTGGCTCGGGCCCTCAGGTCCCTGCCACCCACGTGGGGACCTGGACTGAGTTGCTGGCTTCCAGTTTGGGCCTGGCAAATACAGACTGAGACCGAGTCCTTGGGCCTCGCACTCCCTGGGGGAAGGCGTCTGGACCCTGGCTCTGCACCGCCCAGCTTGGGTCACTGCAGCCATTTAGCCTGCCTTCTCTGTCAAATAATCAAATAAAACAACTTTTGAATAACAGAAAGGAGGGAAAACAAGTTTACACGGTCTCTGAATGAGGGGAGGCCAGCCACCTGGCGGCAGTTCCCGACTCCGGGCTGTTAAGGTGCCGCCGGGGAGTGGCCCTATCGCCCGCCGCCTGGTACGGGCTCACTCATTAGCAGGGCCAAGGTTTAAATTTGGCATCCCAGGACTCAGGAATGCTGGCTCTCTTCCATGCCACCAGTCCTTCCACATCACACATCACGCTCCTGGCAGGGCCCGCGTCTCCCGCACGTCCGTGGCCTGCGTCCCTGGACACGCGCCAGGATATGTGTTTGCAGGAAGGGCTGAGCCCCAACGGCTGGGCGCGGCGGACCGAGACACTTTCCTGTATTGTTCTGTGTCAGTTTTGGTGGGTTTTCTTCTTTTTTTGTTCACTGTGAACACAAATCCTATTGCCTCAAAAAGCAATACAATTTTTCTTGAAAGAAAAAGAACGGTTTAAAAAGGAGTCCTCGAACTTAACTATAAAGTAACAGAGGAGTGACCGGAAGTAAGCAGACCCAGGCAGGTCTAGCCCACTGGCGAGAAGGCTGGCACGGGGCTTCCCGAGGTACGCACCTGCTCGGCGGGCAGCACACCATCCCCGGGGCCGGATGAGGGCTTCGCGGGGCTCTTTCTGTCACACGAGGAGGCCTCGTCCTCCCGCGAGGCAGGCTGGGAGGAGCCCGGAGAGTGGGCCTGCTGGATGGCGCTCAGCTCCCTGCAGAGGGCAGACCAGCACCCCTGTGACCAGCGCACGGCCACACCTACCCGCCAAGGAGCCCGGAGGGCCACACCACAAGTCTGTGGGAACATTCTAGGTCCGCTGAGACTCACAACACGTATCTTCACTGGGGTGGCTGCCCTAGGGCTTTTCCCTCCTCTTAAAAACACCAACAACAGGAGGTCCCAGGGACAGGCCCACCATGTGACCTCGGCATAGGGGGCCCCACGCCTGTCCCCGGGCCTGGGAGCTCAGCGGCTTGGCAGCGGCAGCAGCAGTGCCAGCAGGGAGTCCAGCAAGGACGTGCACACCCAGCCTGACAGTCTGCGGGAAAGCAGGAAAACACGACGGGATCCCATCACCGAATCCCGCAGTCACGGGCAGGGCTCGCCAGGCCTCGGGGCAGGTGGGCTGTATGTGTGAGCCGGCCAGCCGGGTCAATGTGACCGCCCCCCAGCACGCTCTCCATCGCCCGACCCCGGAGCGTGTGCTCAAGTTCCATGTGAGGACAGGCGGCCGCGCCCGACCACCAAGTGGCTCTAAACCCCACACAGGGCGTGAGGATCAGCTACGACCACGGAACCTTCTAGAGTCTGCAAGTTGGCAGGATATCTGCACGCATTTTAAGTGACTCAAGAGTCCCAGAGAGCCAAATGCTCCGAGCAGTGAGCAGTGTCGGCAGCAGAGAAACATCTCAACCATCATGTAAAAGTCAGCAGCAGGATCCAGAAGGTTCGATACACAAGGCTCAATCTGTAACTGAAGACTAAAGCTTTATCTAAAAATAGGAACTTGTACAGCGCCGCACAGCCTGGGGAATCAGCAATTCTAACAGGCAGACGAGCTGGAATGAGGCACATGCTATTCACGGATCCATTTGCTTCTCCCAAAATCCCAATAATTTTGCCAGTTTGTTAAATATAAAAATTATTTCACATGAATTTTTAAAAGATAACAAGTTTGGGGCCTGCGCTGTGGTGTAGAGGGTACAGGGGAGCCATTTTGTTACCGACCCAGCTCCCTGCTAATGCATCCGGAAAAGCAGTCAGGGATGACCCAGGTGCTGGGGCCCCGCACCCACGCGGGAGACCCGGGGAAGGAGCCTCTGGCTGCTGGCTTCAGAGAGGCCCAGCTGCGGCCTCTGCGGCCACCTGGGGAATGACGCGCGAACGGGAGCTCTCTTGTCTCCTCGCTCTGTAACTCTGCCTTTCAAATAAAGGGAAAAAAATGTAAAAGAGTTACTTTATTTTTATTGAAAAATCAGATATACAGAAAGATCCTCTGTCCAATGATTCGCTCCCAGCGACCACAACGGCCGGAGCTGAGCCAATCCGAAGTCAGGAGCCCACAGCCTCCTCCGGGTCTCCCACGCGGTGCAGGGGCCCAAGGCACTGGCCGTCCTCGACTGCTTTCCCGGGCCACAAGCAGGGAGCTGGATGGGAAGCGGGGCTGCCGGGATTAGAACCAGCGCCCACGTGGGATCCTTTCAAGGAAGGAATTTGGGGGAATATAAATTCGAGAGCAGACATGAACTGAACACCAAGCCACATTTTGTAAAGTGCCAGGTGGCCCCGTACTGTCACATAAGCTTGGGGCACACAGGCTGACCACAGGGCGGCCGGAAGAGCCATAGCAGGTGCCAGGGTAAGGGCTACTCCCCTGTGCACAGCACCACCATTTGCTTTCTCATAAACTGTATCTGCTCCACTCACAGCCACTGGCCTTGTTTTTGAGCAGAACCTTTGCCTCAGAGGCCGTTGGCTGGAATCTGATTGTCCCTGTGCAAACAGACACAGCCTGCCACGCTATGAGGAAAGGACCCGAGGCTCGCCCAGGACGCCACTTCCGGCCTGCCTGGAACCGAGGGCGTGACGCGTACCCACCTCGTGGAGGCGTTGTATTTCGTCCCACGAACGCTCCCTGAACAGGTACAGACGGATCTGTGGCGCACGATTCTCTGTGTTCTGGAAGGCTTGAAGATGCTCATCCACTCGGCGTCGGACACGGGGCCAGGCGCTTCCACAACCAGGTTGCTGGGGTGGCAGCACGGAGCCTCACACGTGGCACCGTCCCCCGGGCAAGCCTCGGCCCTCTGGCAGCAGGAGTCACCCGCCATTTCCATGTGCCCCCGGCACTGCTCTGCCAGCTGCTCTGGCTGTCTTGTCCCGGGGCAGCTGGCCAGGCCCAGGTAGGCACTTACGTCGTGCCACTGCGTGTCGCCAGGCCTCGGTGCCTCCGGGAGTGGCCGCTCCTCGCCCACGAGCGCATCTCTGGTGCCCGGAGGCAGCCTGGCCGGGGCCTTGCACGGCGGGGCTGTGCCCTCTGGCTCCGGCTGGGGCTTCTCTCCCGGAGGCCAGGGCTTGGGCTTTTCTGCCAGGTCCCTGGTGAGCGGGCACCGGGGCAGCAGCACGCCCTTCTCCGCGCGCGCCGGGCCCGCCTGCAGCCTCCTCCCGCTGCAGGCCTCGCAGTGGCCCTTGGCCGGCCTCGGGGCCAGCACCGCCTCCAGCTCCGGCTCCCTGGCCAGCAGCTCCGCATGTTTCTCCCTCTTGAGGACCTTTGAGTGGTTAAGTTCAAGTTCTGACAGGCACAGGCCTCTGCTGGAGGGCGTCACAAGGAAGTGCAGGTGGTTAGTTACGCGTGCGAGTCACCCGGCCCCCTCCCTCCAGGGCACCCACTTCCCTTCCGGAACTCTTCCAGTCCTTTCTGCCTCTGTGACAACCAACCAGGGCCACTACTTAATGTGACTACGGCCCCTGCGGCCTGCTGTCTGCGCCCGGGCCGCTGCAGAGCTGAGAACCACCACAGAGCTTCCACAGCCCTCCGTCTTGGCCGCGAGGCTCAGAGAGCAGAGCCACCGTGCCTGGGGCCTCTGGGAGAGAATTCTGGGGAAGCAGCACGCGTGTCCGCAGCTCTGGCCCGCCCAGCCACAGTCACCTGCACAGTCCCTGGCTCCCGGCTGCAGCTGGCCCGCTCTGGCTGTTGGGGCGTTTTGAGTGAACCCACACATGCGGGAGCCCCTCCCGCATTCACTCTGATCTCAGAAGATCATGCCTAAAGTTCTTACGAGACGTCTCACTGCGAGGATCATAGAGATTCTAATGACTGGGTCACGAGTGGTCATTTCCTGTCACAGGGGGACTAGGCGTGGGTGCTGGCCGCCGCAGCTGAAGCGCCCAGCGGACGCCGGAATGCTGGCACTGCCCTCGGGTTACCTGCACTCCAGGCTGTCGGGTTCCTCCAGCTTAGAGTCGTAGATCTGGATGAATTCTTGAGAATTTTCCACATTAAAGTTCAGAAACTGCAGGTCACTCTGCTGCTTCACATAGATCTGCACAGACACAGAGAGGGCAACGTGCAATGCCAGCCGTCGGACCCCACCGAGCCAGCCGACGGCGAGGCCCCACACCCCCAAACAGGCAAAGAACAGGGCAATGTGCAATGCCAGCCGTCGGACCCCACCGAGCCAGCCGACGGCGAGGCCCCAGTCCCAAACAGGCAAAGGAGGTATTAGAGAAGTGAAGTAAGTTGGCTTTGATTTTTCCGGAGTGTCTTCTGTCTCCCAGCCCCTCAATGTGGCAAGCAAGGGCTCAGCTGCCGCGTCCCACAGTGGGCACCCAGGCCGGCCCCGCGGGCACCCACCTGCCGCAGGCTGTGCAGTTCGGCACTCGTGCGCTCCTGCTTTGACTTGGCGATGTCCAGCAGCTCGTCCTTCCTCTTCTCCCTCTCCGCTACCGGGGACAACGGCAAGGCGCTCGTCAACCACAGCCACGGCCCTCCCCAACCATGCGCTGCTCAGCTGACTTTTTTTTTTTTTTTTAAGATTTATTTATTTTTATTGGAAAGGCGGATATACAGAGAGAAGGAGAGACAGAGAGGAAGATCTTCTGTCCGATGGTTCACTCCCCAAGTGGCCACAACGGCTGGTGCTGAGACAATCCAAAGTCAGGGGCCAGGAGCTTCTTTCGGGTCTCCCACATGGGTGCAGGGTCCCAAGGCTTTGGGCCGTCCTCCACTGCTTTCCCAGGCCACAGGCAGGGAGCTGGATGCGAAGTGGGGCTGCCGGGATTAGAATAGGCACCCATATGGGATCCCAGCACATGTAAGGCGAGGATCTTAACCACTATGCTATCACGCCGGGCCCTCGGCTGACTTTAAAAATAAGATTCATTGATTGATTTGAAAGGAGAAGTGACTGAAAAAGGAGGGATAGAGTGAGGGTGAGAGGTCATCCACCCACAAGCTCCCCAGGTGTCTGCAACAGCTGGGGTGCAGGGAGGGACACGGACACTTCCTGCTGTCTCCCAGCTGAAGTGCAGCACAATGGGTGAACAGAGATCTCGGCCCTGCGATGGGACCAGGATCATCCAGTGGGGAGAGACGCATCTGACCTATGACTGGAACGGCAAACTGATCCGCAGGCAGACACTGCCCACCCTTTGACTCGCTCCCCAGACGGCCACAACAGCCCGGGCAGGGCCAGGAGCGCCCTCCAGGGCTCCCACATGCGGACAGGGGCACAAGTGCCATGGCCCTGGGAACTGGATCAGAAGTGGAGCAGCCGGGACTTGAACCAGCACGCACAAGGGCTGCCAGCATCACGAGCAGCGGCTTAACGTGTTGAGCAACGACGCTGGTCGAAGAGGAACAAACTGTCACACTGCAACAAACGCTGAGCCACAGAGGAATTCCCGATTCCCCGTGTGTGTCTATCTCCCCACGTGCGGGACTCACCTGAGCAGCAAGGGGCTGAAACACGGAGCGAGCTTAGCTGGGAAGATGAAACGAAATCATGTTTCTTTTGGTGGGGGAAGAAGTGGAAGTGATTTCCAAATATATTCGTATATTTAATATGTATTGCTTCAATTTCAAACATTTTTCACCTTACACAAACTTCCGTACATATCATTTCACACAGCAGCATAGCTTTGCAGCAAGGACAGGGGCACTCCGCGGGGGCTTCCATGCTACGGAGAGCCAGGCCTCTCGCAGAGCGCCTTGGGGTCCCCAGGACCCGCTGCCTGCCGGCTGAGACGCAGCGCTCTCCCCGCGGGCGCAGCCACGGACCTCCAGCCCAGGCATCAAGGGGGGTTTGTTTGTTTTTAACTCTTCCTTCTTTTATAAAGACCAAAGATGCTGTGGAAGAGCTGCCACGAATGGGCAAGCAGCAGAGATGGCGTGGAGACCCGGATGGAGCTCCTGCCTCTGGCTGCACCGAGCCTGGTCTAGCCTGGCGTGCACCGAGCCTGGTCTAGCCTGGGCTGCCGCAGACTCCTGGGGAATAAACAAGGAGAAATCTCTGTGTCTCCCCCTCTCTGCTGCTCTGCCTTTCAAGTAAATGAATGAACCTTTAAAGAACAAAAGGGAAGATTCTGAGGTCAGGTGTCACACACGGAGGATGTTACTATTACGCTTAAGGAGAAATACAGGGACTGGCAGCGCGCTGAGATGCCAACCTGGGCGTCTAACTTGGACTCAGCGCCACAGCGGTGCCACGGAGCTGCCACGGCCACACCGCAGTCTGAGTCGCTGGCTCTGTCACATCTCAAAGATAATGTGAAAAGCCCGGGGAGATGCCATGCTGTAACTGTAAGAAAGGCTGAAATCGGATCGCTACCACGTCCCCCAACACACACTTTCCTGAACACTGAGCTCAGGCGTGCACACCGGGCCTGGCCACGCAAGACGCCGTTTAAGGAAATGTGACACTAATGGGGGGTACACCTTCTGTCGGGGTGTTTCACTCAAACACCTGCTGTGGTTTCCCTGTGGCTGGGGCGCTGGGGAGAGGGGGCTGCTCAGCCCCACCCTGACCCAACAGGCCTGAGGCCCGAGCCAAGGACACAGGGGCAGGGCACCTGCGCAGCCACTCGTGCCGCCCGAGCAGGGGGACACGCGGGCCCTGTGCCGTCAGCAGCGTCATCTTACCTCCCGTGTGGAACTGGAGAAGCCTCAGGGCAGCCTGGCACTGCCCAGGGCCGATGACTAATTCAGGTTCTGCAGCACTCAAGGCAGCAGACCAGAGCCACAAAGCAACAGGCCACATCACCTGCACGGAGCCCTGTGTCACGCACAGCTGCACGCACAGCTCAGAGCGGACCTGCTACCTGAATCGAGCAGCAGACGGCCGCGCCCCCCCACCTGTGGCGGGCCCCAGTCCTCAGGCCTCTGGCACCCACGGAACCCTGCCACATGGCATGCTTTCCTGATGCTGAATGCCAACTACTTCCTGTGGCCCTCATGGTAATTTGAACCACAGCAGCATCTTTGCCTCATCTGCTGACTTTAGCACAGTGCACAAAGAGCGAGGCAAAGCCACTGCTATCCAGACAGTTCCCCACTGGGCGCTCAGCTGGGAGCTCCGAGCGCAGCAGGCAAGCCTGCACAAGGGAAGGGGGACCAGACCCGTGGGACCTGTCGGATTCTGGCCAAACCTCTGCCTTTCATTCACCGACTGGGAGAGACGCGACCCAGTCCCTGAGCGCCCCACCCAGCCCTGGGAGGAGCCCCAGAACTGCCTGATACACACAGGTGCCTTCATATGAACAAATGAACAGGCCCCTAAGCCTTCCAGCCGACTTCACCTTCAACAAGAAGCAAAAGCAGGCACTAGCGCCGAGGCACCGCAGACTAAGCCACCACCCGCAGTACGGCACCCCACATGGGCGCTGCTGCAGCGCCAGCTGCTCCACCTCTATCCAGCTCCCTGCCAACACACACGGGAAAGCAGCAGCTTGGCCCTGCCACCCCTACAGGAGACTCAGGTGAAGGTCCTGGCTCCCGCTCAGCCGTAGCCTGCCTCTGGCCGGTGTGCTCACTTGGGGAGGAAACCAGTGCACGGAAGAACCCGCTCTCTCTTCATATCTGTAACTGCCTTTCAGATAAATACATAAAATATTGTTTAAAAAGAGAAAAAAATAGGGCCTGGCATGATGGCTCAATTGGCTTGTGCTCCATTTTCAAGTGCCAGGATATCCCAGTTGCTCCACTTCCCTTCCAGCTCCCTGCTTGTGGCCTGGGGAATGAATTGAGGATGGACCAAACCCTTGGGACCCTGCGCCAGTGTGGGAGACCCAGAAGAGGCTCCTGGCTCCTGGCTTTGGATCGTCTCAGCTCCAGCCAGTGCGGCCATTTGGGGAGTGAACCATCGGATGGAAGATCTTCCTCTCTGTCTCTCCTTCTCTCTGTAAATCTGCCTTTCTGATAAAAATAAATATATTTTTACACTTGGTCTTAGCCGAAAGGCTGAAAAGTGATAAAAAAAAAAATACATTTTTAAAAGACGAACTAGCACCTGTATGGGACCCCAGCACATGCAAGGCAAGGACCTTAGCCACTAGGCTACTGCATTGGGCCCCATAAATAAGTCTTTGCCTCAGCCTGTATACAATCAAGTCAAGCCTTTCCAGTTCTATACCTAGGCCGATTTTCCCTTCTGGTTAGGAGGTGAGCTTGTTTAGATACAATGGCATGAAACTGCCTTCTGTGAGAAAGATTAGAAATCCTCACGGAGCAGGTGTTGTGGACTGCAGGCTCAGCCCCCGCGTGGGACACCCTGGGACACCTGCATCCCACTCCAGGGGGCCTGGTTCGAGTCCCGGCTCCTCCGGCCTCCAGCCAGGCCCAGTCCTAGCTACTGCACGCATTTGGGAAGTGACCTAATGGTGGGCAGATCTGTCTCTCTCCCTCTTGATCCGTCTTTCAAACAAGTGCATAAATATTTAAAAAGAATAGAAAAAAACATCAGCGTATAAGGTGACAGAAAAAGTCCATCTAACAAATCCGGTGTCTCGTTACACAGAATACAGCACAGGAGACACAAAGGGGCCGGTGCGGAAAGCCTGGCCGAGCACCGGGTCAGCAGCGCTCTCCCTGGCCCTGCCCGGCCCCTCGCAGCAGGGTGAAGGCACCGGCTGTAGGCCCGCAGATTCGCCTGGCTTGGCTCTGTCAACACAATCCCTTTGTAGCAGCCTGATTTCGAAGTGGACAGTTGTGTGGCCCACAAACCAAAGCATGAATATCTGCTGGCCGGCGAAGGGGACCGGTCACCTCTGCCCGGGCGCGCCCAGCCTGCCCAGGGCACTCGGAGCTTCTCGCAGAGCAGAGCGCCCTCTCGTGGAGAGCTTCTCCCAGCGCGCCCTCTCGTGGAGAGTCGCGGCACCTGCTTCTGTACTCATGGGAGCCTTAGGACCTTTAGTGTACAGAATGGAGGGCAGCTATGAGCAAAATCATTGATCTAATTTTCTTTTTTCTTTTGTTAAATTAGGCTTATTTATTTTTTACTGGAAAGTCAGATATACAGAGAGGAGGAGAGTCAGAGAGGAAGATCTTCCGTCTGATGATTCACTCCCCAAGTGGCCGTGACGACCAGAGCTGAGCTGATCTAAAGTCAGGAGCCTCTTCCGGGTCTCCCACGCAGGTGCAGGGTCCCAAGGCACTGGGCCGTCCTCAATTGCTTCCTCAGGCAGGGAGCTGGATGGGAAGTGGAGCAGCTGGGACATGAACTAGTGCTCATATTGGGAGCCTGGCCCATGCAAGGTGAGGACTTTAACCACTAGGCTACCATGGTGGGCCCCTAATTTTCTTTTCAAATTTTACCTCCAACTACATGACTTTCCCATAAAAATGAAAGCCAGTAAACGCCACGTGGCTGACAGGGCAGAAACATGGCCGTTCTGGCGCAAATGCAGCGCAGGGTGCAGGGACCTGCAGGACTTTCATGTTCAAAGTGGGCGCGGGGAAACTTCCTCTCAATTAAAAAAAAAAAAAACTTGGGGCCCGGAGCGGTTGCCTAGTGGCTAAAGTCCTTGCCTTGAACACACCGGGATCCCATATGGGCACAAGTTCTAATCCCGGCAGCCCCACTTCACATCCAGCTCCCTGCTTGTGGCCTGGGAAAGCAGTCGAGGACGGCCCAAAGCCTTGGGACCCTGTACCCACATGAGAGACCCAGAAGAGGCTCCTGGCTCCTGGCTTTGGATTGGCTCAGCACCAGCCGTTGTGGCCACTTGGGGAGTGAACCAGCAGACTGAAGATCTTCCTCTCCGTCTCTCCTCCTCTCTGTGTATCTGACTTTGTAATAAAAGTAAATACATCTGTAAATAATAAAAAAAAAAAAACCTTGATCCCAATGTTCTTATTTTAGGGTCACACTGATACAATAAAACAAGAGTGTTTTTCTAAAGGTCCTAATTAATAATATATGTACAAAACTGGAAAAATGCTAAATTTTCATTTTTATCCAATATTTGCAAAATTATAAACGTCTTCCTTCATCAATACTTGAGTTTTTTTAGATACATTTTGTTTGTTCATTTTAAGTGCAGAGTGGCAGAGAGAGGGAAGATTTTTCCTTTGGTTGTGGATTCTCCAAATGGCTACACAGGCCAGGGGCTGGCTGAGCCAAACCCTGGAGCCCCGCACCCCATCAGGGCCTTTCCTGAGTGTGGCAGGGGCCCAGCCCGGGGCCACCTTCCATCGCTTCCTCCTGGCTATCAGCAACAAGCTGCAAAAAGGAGTAGCTGGGGCTCCAACTGGCCAATCCATACGGGATGCTGGAATTGCACATGACAGCTTACCCTGCCGTACCACAACACTGGCTCCCATAAGATGCTTTTTAACAACATTCCTGTTTAAAGTATCTATTTATTTGAAATGCAGAGATTAAGAGAGTGAGAGAGACCTTCCACTATAAGTTCATTCCCAAATGCCTGGAGCAGTCAGGGTTGGATCAGGCCAAAGCCAAGAGCTGGGGTGCCAACCGGGTCTCCCGTGGGACACAGGGACCCAGGGTCCCGGTCAGCCTGTGCGGTCTCCGAGGGCAAGCATTAGCAGCAGGCGGGATTGGAAGCAGAGACAAGACCTGAACCCAGGCTCCTGGTCTGGGATGCAGGTGTCCCAGCTGGCATGCATGCCACTGCGGGCCTCCACCCACGCAGAAGCAAGCAGAGAGGCAGGGCAGACGATGGCGCTAAAGCAGGCTGCCTGGTCCCAGGCCTGCAGGACTCCCGCGAGCCAGCAGCCGCGGAGCACGGAGAGCCCGCTGCCTTACCGGTGCAGAGCAGCTCGTCGCCCAGGCTGCTCTTCTCCTGCTTCAGGCGGATGATCTCCTCGCGCTGCTCGTTGTTCTCGGTGGTCTTCTGGTTGAGGTCTTCTTCACAGACAGAGGGGGCAAGGCCTCGGGTAAACACCCGCGCCCAGCTCGGGCACTCCCAGCTCCAGCGCACCGTGCCTGGCACCCTCCCGCGGCTCTCCTGCAGCCCCTGCCTCGGCTGCTGCCCTCCCACCCAGCACACAACACAGGCCGGATAAACAGCAACCCGCTCGTGTCACTCCTCCGTGACAAACCCACGCTCACGGCCACCACTGTCGTGAGCCCGGCCTGGGCCCTTGCTTCCTGTCTGGTTCACTGGCCCAGAGCACCGAGGTCAGACAGCAGACACCTCTGCTCCGGCGACAGCCTGGCACCTGTCTGTGCGTCACCCCAGGGCTGGCTGAAGAAGGTAATATAAGGACCGAGACAGACTCGGGTGTGGATGGACACATGACCTTGGAGCTTCCCACTTTCCCTAACTCCGGTGGCAGGATGGGGTGGGGGAGGCCAGAGATGGAGCTGCACACATCCCCCAAGAAGCACAAGTGGGGGACATGTGGACACATTCAAACACGGTGAGAGGAAGGAAGCTTCGAGTTCTTCCCACATCCTGCTTGAGGCATCTCTCCGCTCTGCTGTTGCAGCAAACAGAACAGGAAAGTGGGCTTTCTCATAAATTAATGGAACCCTGAGGAGGGGGCTGCAGGAGCCCCCATTCACTCCCCATCAGTCATATAAGTGCAGGCACGTATACTTGGCGTGGCCGCCCGTGTCCTATAAGATGCCATCTGGGCAGTGGACGCCCACCCGGTGTCAGTGGACTGGCCCATCGGCTGGAGTCATGGGGAAAGTACCCCCAAACCCACCCAGGACTCCTCATGAGTTCTGGGGCCCCGCTGGTCAGTCCTGCCGTCAGCCCCGCGAAGCCACCTTCCCTGGCTCCACAGGCTGCCTCCCTCAGTCCTGAACCCATTCCCCAGCACCCTGCTTTTAAAGACGGAAAACTGCAACCCCCTGGGGGAAGCAGCAAACAGCGTGGAACGTGTGCACACCAACCCAACAGCAGCAGTCTCCCGTGGGTCCAGTGGGCAGTCTCCCGTGGGTCCAGTGAGCAGTCTCCCGTGGGTCCAGTGAGCAATCTCCCGTGGGTCCAGTGGGCAGTCTCCCGTGGGTCCAGTGGGCAGTCTCCCGTGGGTCCAGTGGGGCTTCCCGGGAAACCACAGCCCCAGCACCCACGGCCCCAGTATAGCGGCATGCTGCGCTGCCCGGGAGCGAGCTGTGGGACACTCCCCACAGGGTGCGTGGGCACAGGAGGCTGTGCCCTCTAAGTCAGCCAAGATCTGCCATGAGAAGCCCCCTTCCCCTGCTCAGGAACACACAGCAGCCAAGCGTCCAGCGTCCAGCGCCCTCCCGTGGATGATCCGCTCTGTGTGACAGGCCTCCGTCTTAGGACACGCTCCCCTCGCAGGGCTGCCGTGTCCAGCCCAGTCCTAAATCCTGACCGTCCTCATGGCTCCCTGCCTTTCTGCAGGTCTCTGCCCTCACCTCACCGTGGCCAGACTGCCAGCAGGGAGAGATACAAACCCCAGGAGCAGAGCTTCCCCACATGGGGCTCAGCCAGGCTCAGCCGAGATCCGCCCCTGGAGCCAGGCTCAGCCGAGATCCGCCCCTGGAGCCAGGCTCAGCCGAGATCCCCCCCTGGAGCCAGGCTCAGCAGCACTGACCAGGACAGGATCCTTGGGCCTTGTGCACCTGCCCCACCCAGCTGTACATCCCGTAGAGGAATCGTAGCCCAGTTCCCTGCGCGCACACGGATGTGCCTCTGCAGTAAGGCCGAGCAGCGCCGGGAGCCCACCCAGACCATGTCGCTTCCTTACCTTTGAGCTTACTGACTTCAATCTTAAGCGCCTTTAATTTCTGCTTATAATCTTGCTTCTCTTTCACGATGCACGTCTCCGCCATCTTGGCGTCACGTAGCGCTTGTTCCAGCAGCTTGAATTTCCCCGAGCAGTCAGCGATGTGGTTGACTGCCTCAATGATGTCTTTGTCCTGCGGATGGATTTGCACACGGTCACGGCGCAGTGAGGCCATGTGCACTCTGGCTGAGTGTCAGCCCGTGCCCTGAGCACTCCTCAGGGAGTGCAGTGGGCGACAGACGAGACAGAGCCCTGATGACGACAACTTCCTGTCCCCCACAAAGCTTGGGAACACATGCCCAGCTGGGCCAGCGGCGGCAGCCTGGCTGACCACCCTGCTAAGGGGCCTCGGCCCCAGCCTGCTCCTGCAGCCAACTCCACAGCCCGTGAGCATGAGGCCCTCGAGGTGGGCTGGTCTGACCCCAGGAAGGTGTCTGCTTGTTGAGAATCCTAAAAGCCCACCCTGAGGACGCTCACCGCCTCCCGGCTGGAGCGCAGTAACCGCTACTCCAGGCTGTGCCGAGTATCCCCTCTGCTGCCCCGTCACATGGGCTTCCATCCATCACCAGGACACTGACCTACAGGGCGCGGCAGGCCACCTGCACCCAGGTCTTCACGGGGGTGACAGGTGAGTCAACCCCCTGCTGACCCAGCAGGGCTCCTGCCTCCTGGGCCGTCCTGGACAACAGGGAGGCCTGGCGCCGTCCTCAGCCGGGTCACAGACGGTGGTAGCATGGAGGCCGCTAAAATGACCCACTTTTGGACTAAAGACAGCTCTGACTTTCACATCTGAGTTTAAGGAAGGTTGCTCATGCGCACTTTAGGCCACGGATGTGCCGTGAGGGGTCACATAGGCGCTGGGCTCCCACTGCAGCGGTCTGCCCAAGGCCCTGAAGGTCATCTCTTTCGGCCCAGCCAAGGCAATGCAGGTGGGACTAGCGCATAGCTCTGTGTGGCCAGCAGACGGCGCTGTAAGCCCCCAGGCAGCCCGTGGCTCGCAGCTGCTCCCCATCACCATCCCTACTGACGCGGGGTAGAGCGCGGTCCACTCGCCCCTGGCCACAGCGGTTGCCTGGACACTGGTTGTCCCCGCTAAACTGCCAGGGACTTGGGTAGCTTCCTCGGGATTCTTGGGAGGAAAGCGAGAGGCTCGGGCGCCCGGCTGAGCCCGCTTGCTCCCCAGGACGAGCAGCCCCTGTGTCCGCCCCGCTGGGGGACACCCCCGGGCGCGCCCCCCTGGCCTGCTTACCTTGAGCTTGATCATGGTCGTGAGCGACTGCTCCCGAGCCTGCAGCTGTCCCACCTGGGCAGAGAGCTCCACCAGCGTGTTGCTGAGATTCTCGTTTCTAGCCTGCGAGGGGACAGCATGTGACACACGGCCCGGGCCATCGGAGCTGGCATCACCCCCCAGGGGCACTGGCTCGCTTCCTGCCGCCTTCCTTCTCTGGCTCTCCTCCGGGGGCAGTGGGCCACGTGCGAGGCCTCTGCCCCCTCCTCAGCCCCCTCCACCTACCGACCCTGCCCTCCTAATTATGGTGGCTAGGGGAGTGAGTGTGTCTGCTGGCTAAAACCTCTTAGGTGTAATTCTAGGTTGGGTAGAAAGGAGACAATGCATGGATAAAACCAGAATAAGTGAGCAATCCCTCTTACTGAAATAAAATACCACTGGTGAATTCTGAGCACTTAAAATCTGTTCAGGAAGTTCCCTCTGGGCTATTCCCCTTCAGCCTGCTGTGCTGCGGTGTGGACGCTGCGCTCGGGTGCTGAAACCAACGGGCAAGCCGCCTCTGCCAGCCTTAGCAGGAAGCTTACAGGCCAGGACAGAAAAGTCAACCTGGAAAGATTACATACAAGGGTGCCATCCCGTGGGTGACTGCCCTTGATCTGCCAGGTGAGCGGGCAGGTGCCACACCCTGGGTGTCTGCCACTGATCTGCCAGGCGAGCGGGCAGGTGCCATCCCGTGGGTGTCTGCCCCTGCCAGAGCCTCAGAAGGAAAAGGGGGAACACAAATGTCAACGTGCTTGGTACATGCACAGCGACTAGCAGGGGACCCTGCATGGCGGTCCTCGGCAGTGGGCGGGGCGTGTGGGCAGACACGGGGCACACGGAGGCCATGCGGACAGACACAGGGCACAGTCAGGCCATGCGGACAGACACAGGGCACAGTCAGGCCATGTGGACAGACACAGGGCACAGTCAGGCCATGTGGACAGACACAAAGCATGCATGTGAAAAGTCTGTCTTCCTATGCCATTTTACTGCAAACTTAAAACTGCACTACGAAAAATGGCTGATTAATTAAGAAAATATCTTCAATTTCCCATTCAACATATCAGCAGATTTTAGCGCAGGTTTTTGCTTCGTTTCTAGGCACTATGCAGAAAACAAGCCTGTACTCTCACTGTGGCCCCCTCGGCCCCCTGGGACGCACACTGACTGCTGTGAGGGTGACCACTGCAGGGTGAGCAGGGGCTGCTTCCGCCATGCCCCCGGCAAGGAGGGTGAGCAGTGCGCATGCCAGTCCCGGGCTGCTGCTAGCCAACAGGCCGACAAAGCTCCACTGTCAGGGAGCAGGGACAGACACTCCTCGGCCTCTGGGAAAGGCTTCCCGGGAGACCCCCTGTGCCAATGCACCCATCCTGTCACCCAGCAACACCCTGCCAGGAGGCGGGAGCACCAGGCAGCCCACCCTCGCGCGTCCGCGGTGGCCGGGGGACAGAGCACGCAGAGGCAGCACGCACCTCCAGGTCCTCGGAGAGCAGGGCGGAGTGGGTCGCCTTCTGAGCCATCTCTTGCAGCTGCAGCTGTGTCTTCTGCAGCACTGTCTGGCACTCGAGCTGGCCGGACTCGAGCACTTTGACCTTCTTTGTGAGTGACCGGATGATTTCTGTCCTCTTGTGAAGCTCGCCTGAGGGGAGGGTCAGCAGTAACTCGTGGGAGGGCAGACTGGACACCGGATCAGACCTCGCTGTGGTCAGAATCGGGGGCTAAGCCAAGAATGGGTGCTAAGCCACGTTCTATGGTGTACCATTCCTCTGGAGCCTGCCATGACAGGGGTCGCTGCGGTCTTGACCAAGGGACGCCGGCCACACCCAGGCGTCCCAGCATCCCGCCAGCACGGTCCCCACGTGGCAGCCGCCCTGACTCCTGCTCTTTGATATGTTAGAGAGAGGGGTGGGGGTACGGAGGGAGAACGCTCCTACTCATTTGGTTCACATACAAATATCGCACATGGCCCTTGGCCAGGGGCTGGGACTGCGATCTGGTCTCCAGGCGGCAGGGAGCCAGCTGTCACCATGGTGCCCAGGTCCACATGAGCACAAAGCTTGAGTGAGAGCCGGGGCTGGGTGTCTAACCCACCAGGCCGGACGCCCGACCCTGAACATTCATTTCCACACGTTTTTGCACGCTCTCCCCCAGAGGCCGCCTGTGGCCTTCGGCGCAGCAGCACTGAGGTGATTTGGGAACCTGCGGGAAACACACACCGACTCTGAGTCGGCCTCGGCCCGTGAGCACACTGACGTGTGTGTGAGTCCAGTGGACTGCTGGCCCAAAGAGCACGTGCCACCCACGGAGTCAGGGGCCACAGCAGGGGGCAGCACCATGGCGTAGCAGGTCAAGCCTCTGCCTTTGGCATTGGCTTACAGTATGAGTGCGGGTTTGAGTCCCAGCTACTCCACGTTTGATCCAGCTCCCTGCTAACGTCCCTGGGAAAGCAGCAGAGCACGGCTCAGGTGCGTAGGTCCCTGCACCCCCGTGGGAGGCCTAGATGTAGCTCCTGGCTCTTGGCTTTGGATCTTCTCAGCTGTGGCCACTGCAGCCACTTGGGGAGTGAGCCAGCAGATGGAAGATGTCTGTTTCTCCTTTCTGTTAACTCTGCCTTTCTGGCTTCTAAATAAAAATACAGATGCAGCAGATCATCAAAGCATTTTCCTGGAGAGGCCGGCAGCGTCTGCCCAGCTACATGCTAACCAGTGCAGTAACCCTGGGATGAAGGCAGACAGAAGCCTGCTTCAGGTCCCCAGGCCCGGGGCCGCCCTCACACAGAGAACCGCCAGGAGGCTGCGTGGATGGCATCCCCACTTACTCTTGCTCTAAATCTCCCTCCATTTTCCCTGATGCTTGCTTCATTTTAAAAAAATTAGTATCTGGGCCCAGCGCAGTAGCCTAGCGGCTAAAATCCTCACCTTGTGGCCTGGGAAAGCAGTTGAGGACAGGGACCCTCCACCCGCGTGGGAGACCCAGAAGAAGTTCCTGATTCCTAGCTTCAGATTGGTTCAGCTCCAGTTGCGGCCGCTTGGGGAGTGAACCAGGGGTTAGATCTTCTTCTTTGTCTCTCCTTCTCTCTGTAAATCTGACTTTCCAATAAAAATCAATAAATCCTTAAAATGATAAATAAATAAAAATAGCAGGGAGTTCAATGGGAGGTGGAGCAGCTGGGACACAAACTGGCACCCATATGGGAGTCTAGAACATCCAAGGTGAGGGCTTCATCCAGTAGGCTACCATGCGTGGCCCCCATGTATTTTCGTTTAGAAAGATTTATCTATTTTTTAGACCAGCGTGGTGGTCTAGTGGCAAAGGTTCTCGCCTTGTGAGCGCTGGGATCCCGGATGGGCAGCCCAGTTTCTCATCTAACTCCTTGTATGTGAGCTGGGCAAGCAGCTGAGGACGGCCCAAAGCCTTGGGACCCTGCACCCACGTGGGAGACCCGGAAGAGGCTCCTGGTTTCAGATGGGCGCAGCTCCGGCTGTTGCAGTCACTTGGGGAGTGAATCATCAGGCAGAAGATCTTTCTGTCTTTCCTGCCCTCTGTATTTCTGACTTTCCAATAAAAATAAATAAATCTAAAAAAAGATTTGGTCCCCTGCACCCCATGTGGGATTTATTCATTTTTACTTGAAAGGCAGAGTTACAGAGAGAAAAGGAAAGGGAAAGACAGTGAAAGAGAAAGATCTTCCATCTGCTGGCTCACTCCCCAGGTGACTGCCACAGTCAGAGCTGAGCTGATCTGAAGCCAGGAGCCAGCCTCACTTCTCTTATTGTTTTTGTTAGTTTTTTTTTTTAAGATTTATTTATTTTTACTGCAAAGTCAGATATACAGAGAGAAGGAGAGACAGGGAGAAAGATCTTATGTCTGATGATTCAGTCCCTAAGTGACTGCAATGGCCAATGCTGTGCCAATCCGAAGTGGAGCTGCCGGGATTAGAACTGGCATCCATATGGGATCCGGGCGTGTTCAAGGCAAGGACTTTAGCCACTAGGCCACGGCACCAGCCCTGTCTTTGTTAGTTGTTTAAGGTTTATTTGCTTGCAAGGCACGGTTAGAACAAGAGTGGCAACTGTAACATGCCAGGAGCTCCTGGGTCTCCCACATGGGGTACAGGGGACCAAGCATCTGGGCCATCTTCCACTGCTTTGCCAGGCACGTTAGCAGAGAGCTGGATCAGAAGAGGAGCAGCTGGGACTCCAATTGGCGTTCATATGGGATGCTGGTGTGGCAGGTGGGACCTTCATCGATGGCCCTTCAATGCCCATGCCATGTTCTCTTCTTTTAAGCTGCCATATGGGAGTCAGCCATCTTTGCAGGGTACTTGGCTCCCCTGGGGTGCTTAGCTTCATTCGGTCAGGGTGAGCACATCCAGCTCCCGGCTAACAGGCTCCCCCAGCGTCCTTTGAACACTACCCCAGGCCTCCAGTCTCCCGCCGGCCGCCAGGCCCCGCCCCGGGCCCCGGCCGCCTGGCCTCACCTTCCAGCTTGCCGCAGCGCTCCTCCAGTGTCAGCACCTTCTGCCTGTCCTCCTCCCATGACAGCAGCTGCCTCTGATGCACCGCCACCATGTCGTTGAGCTCCTTGTCGCGGTCTTTCAGCTCTCCAATGAGCAGCTGCAGCTCCTTCCGCTGCTTCTCCTCCGTGGAGATCTCAAACTCGGACTTGATGTTCTAAACACACAGGGCCGCTTGAGGTCAAACTGACAGAGCTTTCCTCTCAGCGCCCTCCCCTGGTAACTGCTAATTCACATAGTTTTAGTCACTGTTAGCTTGTTGCTGTTGTTGCTGCTTTGTTTTTAAAGATTTACTTATTTTTATTGGAAAGTCAGATATACAAAGAGAAGGAGAGACAGACAGAAAGATCTTTCATCTGCTGATTCACTCCCCAAGTGGCTGCAACAGCCGGTGCTGAGGAGCCGAGCCAATCCGAACTCAGGAGCCAGGAGCTTCTTCCAGGTCTGCCACGCAGGTGCAGGGTCCTTGGGCCATCTTCGACTGCTTTCCCAGGCCACAAGCTGGACGCTGGATGGGAAGTGGCGCAGCTGGGACACAAACCGGTGCCCATTCGGGATCCTGGCGATTGCATGGCAAGGATTAGCAAGCTGAGCTGCCGTGCCAGAGATGGATTTCCTAAGGAAATTTACATACACAAGAGACAGCTCCATGAGCTCCTCACATCCAGGAACTGGATTCTACCAGGTCTGTGTTTCCACATCTGCTTCAACTTCCTTTTCCTTTTCATAATTGAAAGAGTCACTCCACTTTTTGCGCCTCAGTATGCTTATAGGCCCGGAATCAGGCTCTGGCTGCTCAACTTCTGGTCCAGCTCTCTGCCAATGTGCTCATTGCTTGGGCCCCTGCACCCACGTGGGAGACCTGGAAGAAGCTCCTGGTGTCGGCCTTGCCCAGCCCTGGCTGCTGGTGTGGCCATTCCGGGAGGGAACAAGCAGATACGAGATCTTTCTTTCTTAACTCTGCCTTTCAAATAAATTTACTATTACTATCATTTTGTAAAGTGTTATTTCCAGGACTAGCTGATGGCGGGAGTTGTAGAAGGCCAGCAGGGGTCCCCTCCCGGCTGTCTCTTCACAGTCAAGAAGGAAGTGAGCCTCAGTCACCAAGGACTAGACACTGAAAATGGAATCCGGAGTCGGGTGGATTGCAAGTCCCAGGCCTTCAGTTCCAGCCCCGGGTCTGCCGCGCCATTGCTGGACACGCCTGGCCGGGCTACAGGCTGCAGCAGGTGGCAGCCCCGGGCGCGTTCACGGTCAGCGTCGCGGTCCAGGGAGGTCAGCCTGAGGCAAGGGCCGCCCGCGGGAGCTTCGGGGTTCAGGAACGGGGCGTGCGGCTGCATTCTGCGCTGGTCTAGATGCTTCTGCAGCAGCAGCCGCCCGTTACAGCCCTGAGGACAGTCGCCATGTCGGCGAGCGCGCCCGAGCCCGCCGGCTGCTCACCTGGCGCCCGGCGAAGAAGCTCGCCGAGGGGTTCATAGGTGTTTCCTCAGCACCCCGGAGAAAGTCCGGGTGGACAGCGTCACCTTGGAAACGCCATGGGCGCGGCGGGGCGCGGCGGAGCCCCCGGAGCCCGCGCCCTGGGCCCCCCGACAAGCGCCCGCCAACGGCCGGCGGGCGGGTCGGGCTCTCGTGGCGCCCGGGGCGCGCGGTCCCGCGTGGAGCGAGCGCTCGGCTCCTCGGCTCGCAGGGCTGCTTCCTGGGCGTGCGCGCCCCGGCGTGCGCTCCGGGCGCAGCTGGCACGGGCTTAGGGCGCTTTTACCTCACCACAGGTCCGAGTCCGGAGGCGACGAGGGCCAGAAGCCTGGTCTATCCTCGGGGAGCTGCCGGGCACGGAGCCGGGCACGGAGCCGGCAGGTGTGTCAGCCTCGCCGCGTTGCCGGAAACCCCGCGGCGGCCCGAGTGTTCTGGAGCCTGGCGTCCCGGCCGCGCAGCCACGCGGGAGCACGAGGGCCCTGGCTGTCCCGGCCGCGGAGCCGTGGGTCCGGTTCCCCTGTCGGTACACGACGGCTCAGGTGCTTGGGCCCCTGCCACGGGGAATCGCCAAGAGGGAGCTCCTGGCTCCTGGCAGAGGCCTGGCCCAGCGCTGGATGTTGCAGCCAGTTGGAGCGTGAACCTGCATATGAAAGACTCCTCTGTGTTTCTGCTTTTCAAATAATTTTTTAAAAAGGAAATAAAGTTTAAATTTCTTATGTTGGCAAGTAGTAATAAAGTGTAATAAGAATGAGTAGGTACAAATAAAAATGGCCAGCATTTTAGGTCCACTCCCACAGGTGTGTATTTAACAGGCAGAAATCTTCCATCTGCTGCCAGGAACTTCCGGGTCTCTCACACAGGTGCAGCATCCCAAGGGCTCAGGGTTGCTGCTTTCCCAGGCCACAAGCAGGGAGCTGGATGGGAAGTGGAGCTGCCAGGATTAGAACCCGTGCCCATATGGGTTCTTGGCACATTCAAGGTGAGGACTTTAGCCACTAGACCACTGCACTGGGTCCTCTATCAGCATATTTTAAGTAGGGTGGCTCCCTGGGTGTGCACTAGAAGCAGGCTGCCGGCCTCGGTGCGCATGGACCAGGCACCGCCAGCATCTTCATCAACACATGCCATACCAGATGATCTGCCTTCACCATCCACACATTCTGAACAGATGTTAAAGTATGCTGTACTTTATTCTGAAGGGCAGAGGGAAAAAGCCAAGGGGGTTCCCAGGTGGCTTACTCCCAGCTGAGCTGGGGCTGGCAGCCAAAGCCACGAGTGCTTTCCAGGCCTCCTGGAACGAGGGCTCAATGACGAAATCCTCGTGTTGTTCAGTGCTTGGATCCCATACAGGTGTCCACTCATGTCCTGGCTGCTCCACTTCCCATCCAGCTCCCTGCTTGTGGCCTGGGAAAGCAGTGGAGGACGGCCCAAAGCCTTGGCACCCTGCACCCGCGTGGGAGACCCAGAACAAGCTCTTGCGTTTGGATCAGCTCAGCTGTTGTGGTGTTTGAAGAGTGAACCACTTGAAGGAAAATCTTTCCTTCTCTCTGTAAATCTTATCTGCCTTTCCAATGAAAAAAGAAAAGAGCTGCAGGAACCCAACCATGAACACTTCAGCCAAGAACACTGCCTGCCAGGTCTGAATGGGCGGGAAGCTGGAACCATGAGCTGGAGTGGAAGCTGATTACAGAATTCGGTGTAGGATGCTGGTGTCCTACCTAGGAGGCTAAATGCCTGCTCCCATATGTACATTTTTTTTAAAGATTTATTTTTAGTATTTTTTTTTATTGGAAAGGCGGATATACAGAGAGGAGAGACAGAGAGGAAGATCTTCCCTCCGATGATTCACTCCCCAAGTGAGCGCAACGGCCGATACTATGCCAATCCGAAGCCAGGAGCCTCTTCCGGGTCTCCCGTGTGTATGTAGAGTCCCAAGACTTTTCGCGGTTCTTGACTGCTTTCCCAGGCCACAGGCAGGGAGCTGGAAGGGAAGCGGGGCTGCCGGGATAGAACCGGCGCCCATATGGGATCCTGGGCGTGCAAGGCGAGGACCTTAACCACTGCGCCACCACGCCGGGCCCTCCCCTATGTACATTTAAAGATCAGGCCCACACATGTTCCACACAAGGACAAACCCTCCATGTTCCTGCTGTAACATCCATGGCTGGCTGTGTGGCCTGATTGGGAGCGCAGGCACAGCACGGTTCCCAGCAGCAAGACACACGCACACAGCACGGATCCCAGACACTTCTGCCTCACTGGCTGACCTCATTCACCAGTTACCACAGAACTTTACAACTCACACTTGATTGCACACTTTTATCTAAGACTTTATTTGAAAAAAAAATCCATTTAAATTTTTTATTTTCATGACAATAAACAACGGCTTCATGGATTCTAAATCTCATAAAGGTGCCTATACAATTTAAAATACCACAAATCTTCAGTCAGCACCTAACAGTTTTAAATTCATAAATGCATTTCTTTTTTAAAAAGATTTATTTATTTTTCATGGAAAGGCAGATTTTCAGAGAGGAGACACAAAAAAGATTTTCCATTCGCTGATTCACTCCCCAAGTGGCTGCAATGGCCAGTGCTGAGCTGATCTGAAGCCAGGAGCCAGGAGCTTCTTCCAGGTCACCCATGCAGGTGCAGGGTCTCAAGGCTTTCCCAGACCAGGCAGGGAGCTGGACGGGAAGTGGAGCAGCTGGGTATGAACTGGCACCCCTATGGGGTCCCAGAACTTGCAGGTAGAGGATCAGCCAGTTGAGCCATCACACCCCCTTTTCTTCTATCTTTCCAAAAATAAGTAAATCTTTCAAGAAAAATGCTCTCATTTTAAAACTATCATGGAAGTCATGCTTCCGGTGGTTTTCCCAAACTGGACACTAAGTGCAATGTATTTTTTTTTTAAATTAGGAGAATCTTATCCACATGACGTACAGCAAGAACAAGAATTACTGCCCTCTCTTAAATGAAGATCAACTGAACTCTCTGCATCCATGGATTCTGGCAAAATAGGATTCTTAGACAGACGTGTAAATGTTTAGCACGCAAAGCGCCACTGCTTCTTGAACACTGCACAGCTCTTCATTTGATATCACTTGCGATTTTCTCATATTGCAAGTAACATTGTGATGCACAATCATCCCAAGTTCCAACAAGGACACCGCACGGCGGCCGGGGCCCCTGCCCACACGGGACACCGCACGGCGGCCGGGGCCTCCGTCCCCACGGGACACCGCACGGCGGCCAGGGCCTCGGGCCACACGGGACACGGCACGGCAGCCGGGGCCTCCATCCCCACGGGACACGGGCTCTTAAGGCTGTAAGCAGTGAGTGCAGGTGTCTCCTGACTGGACTGAAAAGCTCCTACCTGGGACATGCCACGAGGTCCAGCAGCGGATAGCAACGGCAACGAAGGCAAGTTCAATTGCAAGTCTACCAGAATCCCACTCACTTCAAAACTGTCCAACTAAGAAGCCAGGAGATACACTACTGGCAGGCAAGCCAGGGTCAAGTTCTTTTTAAAAAAACCACCCAGTTTCAGATCAGTAAAACCATCAACAGAACGTTTCCTGCAAAGAAGTATACAGTGTTTTTCCAAAAATTGAAAGCTGAAAGGACAAAGAAAAGTCAGTACCAAATGACCAGAATTTTTTATTGGACTAACTCTATTTCATGCATCAGCATGACAGTCTCCCTTGATCATTAGACTTTGGCAATAAAAAAACGAGCAGCCTCGTACGGAACAGTGAAAACGCTGGCAACGAAGGTAGTCTACAGTCTGACTGTAGGATAAATACACTTTAAAAGGCCTCTCTCCCTTTGGCCATATCAATTCTCAGTTCAGATCATTAAATATAGACAAGCTTTCAAAAGTCACTTCTTTACTTCTCCAAGATCTTCGATACTGTCATCATCCACCTAAAAAACACAGACAATTGCGCTTCAGGAACTGTGACGTCAGAGACGGAAACCCTGTCACTACGGAAACGCCCGGCGCGGCCGGCACTCACCTCCGGCCATCTCTCCTGGATGACGTCGATGATGTCGTCGGTGAAGTCCCCCTGGATGATGATCTCGTCCTCCCCCGTGACAGAGGCGCCACACGAGAACTTCTGCGCAAAAAACCTCTGTGCTTCTTTCAGATCGAGTTCTGTTGTGGTTTTAAAAACAGAAAGAACACGACTGTAGCTGCAACCCAAGACATTATTTCATTCTGAAACCTGAGCCGCATTAACAGACGGTGGGAACAGGTTTTGCTTCTGGAATGGTGATTACGACGGCCACAAACAGGTCTCAGCAATTACAGTAAGTTTCCAAAGCAGTAACAGTTCAGTGCACGCAGACAGCGCCGCACTCCCGACTACAGTAAGGCCAGCACCAAGGCCGGAACACTTCTGAGCAGCAATAAAATTCCTTCTGGAACAGACGCACAGCAGAGCAGACCTCAGTACTGTCAGCGTGGTCCAGGGACTGTTGTCATGCGTGTCCCCCGGCCTCACCCCCCTCCTTGGCCGCCATGCCCACTGGAGACGGGCTGTGCTGCCACTACGCCCACAGAGGACAGTAACACCCCTGGGCACAGCGCGCACATCCCACTCAGCCCTCCTCAGGTGCCCAAGCAGAAATCCACAAAGGGAAAAGTTACGAGTCCCCCTAACAAAAAAGATTTTCAACTTCTCCAAAACATGCATTTTGCATTGTCTTTGCAAAAAAGACCTGTGGGGGTCTGGTGCAGTAGCCTAGTGGCAAAAACCCTCGCTTTGTATGTGCCGGGATCCCATATGACTGGTATCCTGGATGCTCCACTTCCCATCCAGCTCCCTGCCTGTGGCCTGAGAAAGCAGTGGAGGACGGCCCAAGGCCTTGAGATCCTGCACCCACGTGGGAGGCCAGGAAAAAGCTTCTGGCTCCTGGCTTTGGATTAGTTCAGCTCCAGACGTGGCCACTTGGGGAATGAATCAGCAGACAGATATTTCTCTGTCTCCTTCTGTCTATAA